AAAAAAAAAAAAAAAAAAGATGGAGGAGACAGAGAAAATGAGAAGGATTTGGGGATATATTTTGGAATTAAAATTAGTGAAAATTGATCTCCAACCATGTAACAAGTTTAAATTTTTATTTTATTTATATCAATAGAAGACTAAATTTTAAAGAGTGTGGTTGCTTAAAATTATGTACATCCACACTAGAGGATATTGTTACACAGTATATGAATTTTTATTTGACTGTAGTTTTTGTCCTTGATATTGTAAGTGAAAATGAGAATAGGGCTCCACATGTGTGAAACACCAAGGGACTGTGAAGTTGGCCGCAGCAGGTAGAGTGAGATGAGGGGAAAAGAGGGATCTTATCTTTTTTCTTCAGGCTCTCCTGCGATGTTTGACTTGGTAAGTGTGCATTGCTGTTTTAATTTTTTAAAAGTCCATTCACGTGACCAAGAGTCATCTCAGGATCACTGCCACATCTGTCTGTCCTCATCCACGACTGATGAGCTCCGCTTACCCCTTCAGTGTGGCCAAAGTCCACAAATGTGCCTTTTATCGAGATTGAAGGAGGGAAGATTTTCCTTTTACTTCTCATTCCTATGGAGAATGTGATAGCGTTTTGAAGTAAAATATAAATGCTCTAAGCAAATGCAAATTAGTACTATTCTCCTTTTAAACACATTTGAAAAAGAGTTATTCTACTTCAAAATAGACCCATATAGGAAGGGTAGGGGCTCTGGCCAGCAGATGGGTCAGTGTGTCTGTGTCATTTTCTTTTATTCCTTGGCTTTTCTTCTTACTTACCTCCATCATTTCATCCAGCAAAAACACTGGAAGTAGCGTAAAGAAATATATGGAAAATCTAAATTATGTTTAAAAAGTGGAATCAAAATAGATTAAACTGCTTTATGAAAGATGAAGATAGCAGAGGCTGAAACAACATAGATCTATTTCTCATTCATATAGAAGTTCAACCTGACAGGAATTTAGTGGGGCAGGGCTGCACAGCTCTTTAGGAACCTTTTCAAATGTATAGTTTTGCTCTTTTTTTCTGGGATATTGTCCTCTTCTCCAGGGTCAAAGCTGGCTCACCGCCATGTCAAAGTTATAACCCCCTAGAAAGGGAAAAAGGAAAGGCAGAGTATAATTTCCTTGTGAGGGCATGATTCATAAATTGTCCATATCACTCCTGTGTACACCGTATCAGCTATTTAGCAACAGAGAGGCTGCAGAAATGTTCCCACAAGCCGGCATGAGTGCCTAGTTAAAACTCAGGAAGTTTTATTACTAAAAGAAAGAAGAAGAGAGTGGATATTGGAGGGAAATTATCAATGTCTACTACATACTAATGCTGTATTAGAATAGAGGGTATAGACTCCCAGGGAAAGGATTCTATGTAAACAGGTTCAAAGACTGTTTAGGTGCTAAAGTTGGCCTTCATCTTTCTGGTAGTCAAAATGAGAAGGGAAGCATCCTACTACATATTTATCAATATTCCTGTGGAAGATACAGTTTTTCTTAAAAGAAACATAGCTTTTATTGGATTATGTTCTAAAAGAAGTCTATCACTCTAGATTTCACAGCAGCAACACTAAGAAATGTCATAAATAGTATCCATAAGCATACCCCTGCATAAGGAGCAAAACAAAAAAGGGTTTACTTTATGTAGCAGATATTTTAAAATTGTCTTTAATAAAAATCCACAGCATAGATCAAAGACTCAGTTTCGTAATGGCAACTTTGTTGTCGTATGGGACAGGAAGAACAGGGAGATGCTAATATATAGCCTTTATGAAGAAAATGGGGGCTTAAGTAAGAGTTCCTCAGCAATCCCTGCCTTCTTACACAGTCTAGATGATCAGAAAAGTTAAAATGTATAAAGTGAGGGGTAATAGTGCAATACAGTCATGAATGGTTGAGCGTGCTGGCCCCATACACCCTAGCTAATATCTCATTGTTTCCTAGAGTTGTGTAGCATGCAACAGTTTTTGCAGTCTGCAGCAAGGCATCAGGCATTGCATGAGATATTTTACAGTTTCCCTACATTGTATAAACTTACTGAAATGGTAGTACGGGATACACATTACGCATTCCCCGTCTTATGACCAAAGTTCATGTTGGTCCGGTAACTTGCCCAAACATAGCAGCAGTGGGATTTCAATCTTGCTCCCTTTTATTCTAACATGGTGGTTTGTTTACCTCCTTTTGACACTGTATAGCACAGCTTATGTATCATCCAGTATGATTATGACTACCAGAGCAAAAGAATTCTAGTAAGTGAAAAAATTATTGTGGATTGGGTAGTCAGCATACAGTAGCTCCTGTAAATTGGTAATATTTGTCACAGTGTAAAGGAGGAAAGATGACATTCAAGTAAAGAGAGATACCATCATTTCAGGCAAAGATATGGAAATGAGATTGATCTCACTGGTAAAAAGTTGGAATAGCACCTGGACTAGAAAGAAAAATGAGAATTGGATGTAATTAAACAAACAAAACTGGCAAAATCAGTTTTTCCAGGGATATTCTGAAGTCACATAATAATGAAGTTTGCTTGTAAGAGAATCTCTTTGGTAATAGTATAAAGCAATGATTCCTAACCTTTTTGGCTCCGGGGACTGGTTTTGTGGTAGACAGCTTTTCTGTGGACAGGTGTGTGGTGGGTGATTTTGCGATGATTCAGAGGAGGCACTACTTAGATTCCTTGCACACGCAGTTCACGCTAGCATTTGTACTCCTGCGAGAACCTAAAGCCCTGTGGGTCTGAGAGGAAGAGGAGCTCAAGAAGGGGTGTGAGCAGTAGGGAGCGGATGTGAATACAGGTGAAGCTTTTCTTGTTTGCCTGCCCTTTACCTCCTGGTGTGCGGTCCACTTCCACGGTACAGGGCTGGAGATCTCTAGCTTAAAGTATTGGCAGGGGATGAGTCACAGTGATGAGGAGGTTAATAAGTAATCTTTGCTACCTATAGACTGGCGTAGAAGCATTGGAGATGGAGAGGAAAGATCAGTCCAAGCTCTACAAAGTATACATGAGTTACGGTGGATGAAAACACTGTCCTTTCTTGGTCCCTACCACAAACATGATTCGCAGTTAACTGGGGTACATGTGCGGGGAATTAGAGGCACGTCCTGCCGGGCTTGTCCTCAAATGTCATAGATTCTTAAAATCGTCGTCCTGGTGAGTGTAAAATGTGATCCACTGCCTCATAAGTAGCTGAGATTCTGAAAACTTCTATAGTAGAGAGGGAGAGGGTGACAGCAGTGAATTCAGGTAATAAAACTAACACTGCTGGACTACAGAGGGCCTTTTATGTACGTTATTGCTGAGTGCCCACACAGTGGTGGGTGCTAACTCTTGTCAGGCCCTCTTTGAAGACAAGAATTGGTCTCAGGTCACAGCAGCATTCTGTCGCGTAGCTGGTGGGTAGCACTCCAGGTGTCAGTCCTTTGAAATACTCTCTTGCTTATTTTTATTTTTCACATAGAAACGAAAGAGACATGTCTAGTAAAGTAGGGTCTAAACGCTATAAAAGCTGTTGTTATCATCATCTCATTTGCTCATAGCACACTTAAAAGAATTGGCTGTCTCACCGGTTGAAAGGCAAGATTGGCAGGAACATTTCAAGGATCATCTCAGTTTGAACAAGATGTAAGCACCTAGGATGATAACCCTCGTAGGTTATATAAAGTTAGCCCCACTCACGTATCAGATGTATGTTAACAGAAACTGTACCATTTGTGATTTTTAATTTCCACATATTTATTTTTAAACTATTATTAACATGTTTTTCTTCTGGATGAAAGCTTCAGCACTCCTTTTTTTTTGGTGCAGTAACATGTATCCATAGAAACTAAACTCTTAAAAAGGCTGGCTTGACTTTATTTTGACTCTAAAATTTTTAGGTTTTAAAAATAGAAACTAGTTGATTTCTATAGTTTCTATAGCTAGGCTGTTATGATCATAATAGGTTTCCTGGCCAATTTTAGAGCCCACAGATGTTTTTCATTTCATGCGTGACACAAGGTTGGACCTTCCTGAACTCAGACCTGAATAATCTTATGCAGGCCTTTATTGTCTGTGGAGGAGGATGTATTCAGATGAATTCAGATGTGCAATAAAGTGTCTTGAGAATCTTTTTCCATTTTAGAATCATTATTCTGTCTTAGAATAATTCCATAATTTATTTATTTTCAGTATTGGGAATACTAGATGTACATTGCATTCAAGAGATAGTTTCTGTTTACACAAAGATATTGCTGGTAGGAATTGGAAGTATTATTTTGAACATTCTAAGTACCTATATTTATTAATGCCATATAATCTTGAAAATGATGTATGGATTTGAAAACATGTGTAAAATTCTTCCCCAGGACAGTCAAATACAGAACTTTTGTAACTTGTCCAAAAAGTTTTATACTTAATTGAAACATGGGACTATCTACACAATAGCCTATGTTTAGTATTTCTGACTTTTAACCAAATGATTGTAATTGGATTTAATTATGTTGCAATGATCAATGATTTATTAATAATCTATTAATGTATTAAAACTTGAAGTCTCATCTCCAAGAATTGTTTGTTCTTGTCAGTGTACAAATATTCCTTTATATTACTTCTTTGTATCATTTATTAAAAAGTAGATACTTCCCCAGCCCCCCACGCTCTTCCCTGAAGAGTTCCATTTCTTTGATCACTTTCCTGAAAAGAGCTCACTATACCTGCTGGCAGATCCTACTGTCTCCGTAACCTTCTCCTCAACAGGCTCCAGTTTTCCTCTTGTCCCTGCTGTGTATCTGAAATGGCTTTATTTGGCCAAAGCCTATTCGCAGTCCTCACTGTATTCTTTGTCTGCACAGTACCTGATGCAGTTGATGTTGAAACTCTCTTTAGCAATTCTCTGTGGCAGCACAAATGCCTGGCTCTTGTCCTTGGCTTGTTTATAGTATTTTATCCTGGTTCCTCCTGTTCCTCCTTCCTCCTTGGGCAGAGTCCTGGAGCTAAGGACCTGGTTTTCGCATTTTCTTCCTCCATTCTCCCTCTCGTGGTGATCTCCTGGCCCACTTCCTGCATCTGAGCTTAATTCATGTTTGGAATAAATTCCTGATTGTACCCTCTGCAGTGTGTCCTGCCAGTTGTCTTGCCTGACTCAAGATTATGCCCATTCTGCCACAGAATACATTCTTCACCCTATTTCTCTTAGTGCATTTCTACCTGTAGATTCTGCACTTTTTCCTCCCTGCTTCTGTCACTCATGGTCTAGGACGAGCCATTGTGATTGTTCTCCTGTAAGTGGTCCCCTGCTCCCACCTGTGTCCACGCAGTTTGTTAAGGTGTACCAGGTCCCACAGAGCGTGTGCCTCCCTAAACCGTGAGCCTCTCCAGTGCTGTGTCCCTCTGCCTTCCCATTTACCTCTGCTCTGTCTTCTTGATATTCCTCGAACACACCCAACCTGGGGCTTTTGCACTGGCTCTTTCTTCAACCGGATACTTCTGCCTAGATATCCACATTCTTTAGTCTCCTCTTCCTTTGAGATTTTGCTTAGCTGACAGCCATCCTGTGAGGTTTCCCCTGACTACTCCAATTACAACTGGCCATTTAATCTTCACTTCCCCTTTGAAATTCCCAACCCTCTTACTCTGCTTTATTTTTTTCAATTATATTTACCATCTTCTCACATCATACAGTTGACTTTTGCATTTCCCCCTCTCTTACTAAAAATGGTAGAAGATACTAATTTGCCCAATATTCTGGTTTTTTTACTCCAGTAGCAATGCCTCACTCCCAGGTACCCAAGGACTGTCAGTTGAACTCTGTGAGAAATATGTTTATAATACACAAATGTAGTTATTACCCTCATGATGTTTGCCATCTTCCAGGTAGACAGAAGGTAATAAATTATTTATAGTGATAAAGAGAGTCTCACAGTGTGCTGTCATGTAGCATATAACCAGGAAAGTGGAACCTGGTTGAGAACTCAGGGAATGCCTCTGCATCATTTACTAGGATCTGAAGATGCACAGAAAAAGTTTGGCAGTGAGGGAAGAGTTGTCTCACTGTGAGGCTGCAAAGGCAGAGTGAGTAGTTCGATAATATATGAGAGAAACTCAGAGAGAGCTACGAGGATTTCGTGGATTAAGGGAAGAGAATTTTATATAGATAAGCTAGAGGAAGATCAAATTTGGGGCAACTGTATAGTCCATGGCAAAAACTGAAGGATTTGAATGGAAAACCATTACAAGATTTGAACCAACGGAGTGGCCACCCTTGGAATTTGGAAATCATTTCACTGTCACTTTATTGCCTGTGTTATCAAATCAGATTAGAAACTAGTCTTCAAGTTGATTATGACTCCAAAGCTCATTTCTGACTAGCAGGAGGCGTGGAAAGTGCATTGATCCTGCCATTCTGGATTAATACGTCGGCTCTTTGCTCTCTGACCTGTACACAGAATCATGCTTTGGCTTGGCTTTTTAATAATACTTGAAATAGTACCTTCCTCTGTTACCCTTGACCTGGTACCTATATTGTTCTGCTATCTTGTCTTCCTTTTAAGATCTGCTTCCTTTCCTGGTGCCCCAAGGTACTGTTTTCTTTATTAGACTCTGTCACTGCTAGGAGCCTGTGTCCTACTAAGTTGTACTGATCATGGGGATTCAGTTCTTTTAACACCTTACTTGTGATCAGACTTTCAAGGGAATGACGGGGGTAGTTGGATGTGGAGGCACAGACCTGTAATCCCAGAACTCTGGGAAGTTGAGCCCAGAGGAAAATATCTGAGCCCAACCTGGGCAACTGAGGAAACACTGTCTCAAAATAAAAGATTAAAAAATGATGTGTATGGGTTGCGGGACGATGACGTAGCTCAGTGCAAAGGCCCTGGTTTCAATCTAGCACCATGAAAATAAAAGTTTGGGTTTTGAAATAGTTATTTAATTCCTAAGAACTTACACTTTATTTCACTTGTGTCAGTTGGCACGATTTAATTTTCTGTTGATTTTGTTATGGATGATCCAAGTGAAAGGCTTTGTTATTATTGTGTGTTCAAGTACTTTTTATTTCTTCTTTAATTTGCAGTTCTCCCGTTTCCTGAAAAACAGAGCCTGGCCCACCTTTAAACAGGCCAAAGCTAAAATCTCTCCACTGCACAGCAGTGATTTCTGCCCTACCAACTGCCATGTCAATGTGATGGAAGTTTCTTATCCTAAGACATCAACGTCCCTGGGGAGTGCCTTTGGTGTTCAGTTGGATAGTAGGAAACATAATTCTCATGATAAAGAAAATAAATCTTCTGAGCAAGGTATGTTCTCTTTTGAAATTTTATCAGATCATGGAGAATGATTTAGGCAATTGCAGTTATTCCTGCACTTTAAAGTTTGATGGATTCTGAGTGTGCAACAAACCTGCCTTTCATAAGGGATTCCTCATTCTAGAATCACTTAAATAATTATGCATAAGCATCTGCAGAATGGAGATGGAGTTGAGCATTTTGATTATATTCCTTTTAAGAAGGGTGATTTTTTTTTTTTTTTTGGCCTTCCTTGTTGTATGTGCCTATGTGTGATAGGCACAGCTAATCTGCTGTGAAAACCAGTAATCTGAAATGACCTTATAACTTAGAGAAAAATGCCAAAGGAGCAGATGAGGGATGCGTACTGCCACTCTTCACCATTGCAGTAGGACAAGGGATTGAACTATGTATAGCTTTTAACTATAACTCTCCACAAACTTTAATTCTGAATTAAATTCAGCATTGGATTGGGATTCTATTTTATATAAGCTTGGACATCTAAGATATGTTAGAGTGGGCAGCTGTGATACTGATAAATATTGCTATGAAGTGATTTTAATTCCTCAGGGAAACTGAGCCCTATGGTGTACATTCAGCATACAATCACCACCATGGCGGCCCCCTCGGGTCTGTCTCTGGGACAGAAGGATGGCCGTGGACTCCGGTATTTATTAAAGGAAGAAGACTTGGAAACTCAAGATATCTATCAGAAACTGCTGGGTAAACTTCAGACCGCACTGAAAGAAGTGGAGATCTGTGTTTGTCAAATAGATGAGTAAGTCTTTGATGTTGTGCTTTTACATTTATCTAATAACATAACTGTAGAAAGGGTGACTTTTGAAAAAATCCATGCATTCTCTCTTTAGTTTTAGAAAATGTAGAACTTTGTGCTGATTGTGTAGGTCTTCTTTATTCTAACACCTTAACTGGTGAAAATGGGGTGCAGATAGGTGGATAGAGATTTTAAACAAACATTTAATGTGAGGGATGAGAGGGATCAAATTCTGTTTTATAGATGAACCCTAAGATTCAGTGTGAAAATATTACAGTAAAATATGACTAAAGGTGTACCAGCTATGTATGGGATGTTCTTGTTGTCCTTTGGTTTAGGGCACTATTGTAATGTACGTGTGCTCAAGGGATGCAGTAAAAGATGGGAAACATAATAGACGTGTATTTGTCAAATGAGTAAACACACACACACACCCAAAAAAAAAAAAAATATATATATATGTATATATATATATATATCCACAGCCAGTACTTTGTCCTGTTTTGAATGAATGAATTACCTACTAAGCAATATCCCAAATAGCATGACCAACAATTTGAAAGTTTGAATTAAGATAAGATGGAGGCAGTTAATGAATACATTTCTAGCCAGATCAACTCTAATTCTTATTTAAGAATTTGAAAGCTGGAGAATTGCATGATCTCTGAATGATTTGTCATCTTGGTATATAATTATGTTTCTTTCACATCTAATCAAAGCAGCTTGATACAGTAAAATATCATGACTTTGGGGCACCTGTTTCTCATTTGCAGAAGTAGATAAATAATAATAGCAATGAATTTCTACTTTTTTTATGAGACAGGGTTTTGCTCTGTAGTTCAAGTTGGCCTTGAGCTCACAGCAGTCCTCCTGCCTCAGCCTCCTGAGTGCTGGGATTACAGGCATGTGCCACCACACTTGGCTTATGAACTTCAAGTTTTGTGGGGGAAAATTATACAAATTAATACATGAAATAATCAGCATAGTGTCTGATGTTATGCGTGCTCATCCATTCAAGAGACAGAAATTATTGAATATATTCAAAATTATGGAATTCTGAAAATGATATAAATACTATTATCTTATTTTTATTGTATACTTTCTTTATGAAGTTGTTGATTTACATTCATTGCAGATGGGGATTGTTTACCTCACACACACATATCATCCCATATTTTCATGAATAATTCAGTTTAGATATCAAATATTTAGAACTTATTCCAGTTTTATCATAATTAGGTATTATACTAATGAAGGCATGATTGACATACTCTCTCATTTGATATATTTTTGAAATTCATATTAAGTGCATGGTATTTAAAAATTTAAATTATATGTCTTATGTGTAATAATTATATTTATTGTTTTATGGATAATTTAGAATTAAGATTCTGTATTCCTCTGTCTAATGAACTAGTTCTTTTAATCCTTTATTTTTATTAGTACATGTTTGCAACACATAATGATTACATTCCTTATGAGAAGTTGGTTTTTAAAAGTTACTTATCACATTTTACACATTAAACTGAGACTTCCCATTACAGACGAATTAATCAGTCTGAAGTTGGTGAAAGGGCAGGAAATTATTTTTAAGTGGTTTTGTGATACTTCGAATTATCTTGGAACCCTTGTGACAGAAAGGTTTATATTTTATGGAATTTTCTTTTACTTTATTTAATAAACAGGAAGGTTTTGTTTTTATTTTTCTTATTTGCAGTTCTTGGTGTTGAACTCAAGGCCTCACGCATGCTAAGCAAGCACTCTACTACTGAGCCTTAGCTCCAGCCCAATAGATTGTATTATATGATCTGTTCTATTTTAGAAACCGGTTCTTTCCCCCTTGAGGTAGTTAGGAAGCATAGAGAAGAAGAATCTTTATCAGTAAGGCAATAAATAGAGTCAAATTATAGATTCCAGCTCTTACAGTGGTTTTAGGAGAACATCTGGACCAATCTTGGACCTCTCGTCAGGACAAGTTTTAACTCCCACTGTCCAGCCGAGTCCTCTGTCAGCGCAGGGTTATCGGCAGGCCCATGCTGAAACTGCTTCAGAGACGTCGCCTCTGGTGCAGCGCTAGCGAAGCTGTGGCACGCGTGCCGCAGGGGGCCCTTTGTATCACTGAACGCTCCGAGAGGTTCGCCATGACTGCTGTAGCCATCGACAGTCCAGCCTTCCTTGGTCACTATACTGACTTGTTAGTGTATTGACTTGCCTTTTTTTTAAAAGGTTCAGGTAATACAAGCATGTTTTGGCAGGAAAGGTTTGAGCTAAGGGGGTCCCTTTACTTGTTTTTAGTTTTTTTTTCTGGTACCGGGAATCGAACTCATGACCTTGAGCTTGCCAGGCAGGCGCTGTGCCGCTGAGCTAAATCCCCAGCCCCCCTTTACTTGATTTTAAATGTTCATAGTTAGAGCACTAATTGTATAAAAAGATTGCATATTTTTGGTAATTAAAACTCCTTAAAAATGATTGTTTTTTCACTTAATATTTCCCCATTCTGTTACTCTAAAAGCCTTTTCACTACTCTGCATGTTTGTTAAAAACGTGACATGAAATGAGCAAATAGTGGAAAAACTAACTTGGTTTTTTCGTGTGTACACTGTATAATTTAACTCTAAATATGTACATGTTCCCCATAGCTCAGTCTGCAGGGCAGTCACTTTAAAACATTGTAGTTACCCAAGTGCCTGGATTTGCCATCACCCTTAGTACTCAGAGATGCTTCAGTGCAGCCAAGCTTAAAAAATTATCTACAAAACTAGTTACAAATGGTTTTCTCACCATGCAGTAATTATTCTTGGTCAGAGTGGAAAAGCAGACCTCGGACGCAATGCCAAGTTTTAAGAGAAATTGCTTCATAAGATCTCTTTGCTGGCCTTTCTTGAAATGAGTGATTCATTCCTACAAAGGGCCTAGTGTAGAACTTGTCTTATCATGAAGTCTGGAGACCTGGGAACTCTTCTAGAAATAAAATTTCCTTTAACACAGAGGCATTTTTGCTAACTCCGCCTACTTAACTTTGATTTAAAGATGGAGTTGAGATGACTTTGCTGTCCAGTAGCATGAGATAGAGTGATGCTATGAATATAACCAAAGTTTTATGATTTCTGTTTCACTTTGAGGAGCTAAATACGTTTGTCCTTGAATGTGTTATTTTCTGGTTAGCCACAGTTAGATATTGGAAATAAGTAAAAATAATTCATGTATATTTCAAAACCTCTGATGGGACTTTAAAATAGAGGACATGTGTATTCTCCCAAGAAGGAGTCAGAGAGTAATGAAGGCCGGTGAAGATGGGAAATTTGGAAACAGATTTAATTTTGCAAGTGCGGATGCCCCAGGATTGAGTCATGAGCAAACTGCAGCATAGGACAGTTTGTGACTTGGGGGAGAAAGATGGAAATGGTGGTGTTGGTGATGGAATTAGCTTTGAAGTTTCCTCAAGCATGTTGCTAATAAATGTACAAATAGAGGACCCAGCTTCACAAGAGCCGGCATCCGTGAAAGGTTCTTACTTCATTCCTAAAGTTCCTCAGTTTGCATCATGAAACACTGGATTGTATCACAAACACCTCGAATTTATATTTGTTTCCAGTACTGAATTATGTTTTCTGTATATTCAAACTGCTTCTGCCCACCTTAGGCTTCCCCCCTGTGTGTAAATTGTGCCCCATCTCTTCTGATTTATCAAGCCAGAATGCGGGTATCATCTTTGGTCATTTTCTTTCCTTCCCTTCCACCTCTAAAACTGTATCAGGTTCTGTCAGTTGTGATTCAGAATGTGTTCAAGTCTGTCACTCTAGACTGAGTCACCGTTATTCCTCACTTGTACCAATGGAGTTTCCACGCTGCATGTCTCTCTGCTACATTCTATATTCAACAGATGCCGTGAGGATCTATACAGGTGAATTGTCCTCGTCCACTGCTTAAAACCATGAATGGCACTACACTGCTGTTAGGCTACAGTTGTTGTTTGGCATCTACAGAAGATTGTAGGACACCCCACAGATAAAGAAATCGCAGAAGGCTTAAATCCCTTATATAAAATAATGTAGTACTTGCACATAACCTATGCACATTCATTTTAGAGCTGTGTACATTCTTCTATGTATCATCTCCAGATTACTTATAAAACCTAATTAATATACATGCTATATAAATAGTGGTTTATTGTATTGTTTGGGAAATAATGAAAATGTAAAGTTGGCCATACTCAGTACAGGCGTAGTTTGTTTTTCTGAGTGTGTAATCCACAGTGGTCTGAATCCGTGAGTGTGGAACCCACAGATCTGGAGGGTTGACTGTAATTTCACTGTGTCACTGTGGTTTACAAGTTCGTACGTGATCTGCCCTTGACCACCTCCACACTCATCTCTCGGAGCCCCAGAGAGTGACCACCTCAGAGCCATCTAAGGGTCCTCTGCTGGGAGGTTCGATTCCTGGTCCCGTGTGGCTGGCTGACCTCTTGGGCACTTAAGAGTCAGCCGATGGGTATCCATAGAGAAACTCTGCCCAGCCTCCCACTAAAATAGCTACTCCTCCACCCAAGTTCCTCATGGGTTTCTTCTCTAGACATCTCCTGGTTTCTCTACAATACCCGTCACCACCCCCCTTTGTTGTTCACAAATATCAGAAAGCCTCAGAGACATAAGGCAGCACACATTTCTTTCAAGATTATTCTCCCTGTCCTTCTTGGGCCATGGAATCTCTGCTCCACTGTGCCCCCTCAGAGTTCCAGGCATGTGATCCTTCAGCTGCAGTGTCTCTGACAGTAGTGACATGTGAAGGGAACACGGCAAACTGTGCACTGCCGTAGAAGCTTCTCCCAAGAAGTGACCTGTAACGTGTCCACTCACATTGCCTTGGCTGAAGCAAATCACAAGCATGCCTGTAAAACCTTCCCAGTCATGGGCCTATGTTAATGACCACTCTACTCCCTCCAGAATGTGTAAGGTATCTGCAAGGAGGGGAGGTTCTGCTTAATTAGCAAAGTATACATATTAACAATGTGTCTCACTCATCCCACCTGTAAAATGGGGATGGGGATTGAATGAATTATTACCTGTTAGGTACTTAGCATAGTGACTAGCATAGAAATTCAGTAAATGTAAGATGTGATGAGGATGGTGATATCGTCAAACATAAATAGATGCAACACAGTATGCACAAAAATTTTAATTAATGCCACTAGGAGGAAATAGATGTGGAACATCATGCTGCTCAGGATTTTAATTAATAGATAATTAGTAGGTAGCTTAATATTGCATATGAGAACAAACAATGGAAGACATTTTGCATGCAGAGATAAAATATTACAGTCTGAGGCCTTACTGTTGCAAAAATAGTGTATGCTTAAACATATTCCCGCAGGGTCAGTGTAAGCATGATTGCAGCTGTTTAAAGCGCAAAGCGAACTTGTGAATACAATTTTTATAACTCTGAAGGAACTATTTATGCCTAGCCACATGACTTCTAATTTAAAATATACATAAACACAGAGTGTTACGGCAAAAATTCGGGCTATATTCCACCAGAGACCAAAGAGAACAGACAGAGTTTTAATTTAGACCAGTCACCTCTCATCCCGACTTGCAAGTCAGGGAAGTGGGTGTGGACCTGCCTTTGTTCCCAGCTTATATACATTTTTAGTTTCCACGGTAACAGATTGGAATGTTTTAGCCCTGGCCACATGTTGTTTTCCTTGTGCCACCTAACCGGGTCAGGCTCCGGTCATGAGCCCAACCACAATGATATATACTTTCTGTACTCTGTTCTGTATGTCCCCCTTTAGATAACCATACATTTCCTTTATGGTTACAATGTTTATCTAGGGCCAGGGAAGGGATGAAACAACCCAGGCAGGGTCATAGGTGATTATCTGGGCCTTGGTATTCTTTGTCTTTGGAGAAGCATTCCAGGGCTAAGTCAGGACTACAAAGTTAACTCTTTACAGCCCTCCGGGATGTTTCTCAAGACACAGTTTGAGGCTTGCATTAAGACTAGAATTATTTTATCTTAAAATGATAGGCTAATAGTCATCGTCCCCTTCAAGAGGACTTCCTGCAAAATGAGAAATCTTGCATCTCTTTCCTTCTCAATATTCAGAGTTCATCTGTCTGGGCAGTATAGGGCTTGGGTAATTGGAGTTAGCCTAATATTTTAATCTTTTGGGTGGAAGGAATGAATAAATATGCAATCTGTCTTACAAGACATAAAAGTATCTTTCCAAGTAGAGAATCTGTGTTTAAAATAATCATCGCTTTCAGTTACTGAAAGTGATCACAGAGCCTTGAGCAATGTAACCTAGCTCCTCCAGTTTTTATTTGTGTCTAAAACTGTGAAATGCCAAAATATTGCTCCAACATCACCTCACAGTGAGACCTCCCCTGACAATATTATATAGAATTGAAGCTCTGTGCTTTCTCTCTTCTTCTGCTAGAGATTGAACCTAGGTCTTGGTCCCACTACACAGATGTTCTTCCACTGAGCCCCAGTCCCAGCCCCAGTTTCACGCTTTCTGTTTTATTTTTTTCCTTAACACTTGTCACCGCCTGATTTACTAGCGTGGTATCTCGGTTCATGAACTTAATTCTTTACATGGTTCTGGTCTCAGAATTCGTTCCATGATCCTGGGTGCCACTAAATCGCAGGCATACTTGGGGAGCGGATTCTGGGACCAGAACTGTGGAAGGAACCAAGTTTGTGAAGCGAGGCACCGCTGTGTAGTTTCCCTATGTGTCTCCTCCCAGAGGAGGGTTCCAGGACAGTGGAGACTTTTGTGTGTTTTGTACACTGTTGTTTCAGACCATCAAGAACAACACCTTGAACAACAAGTGTGTTTAATTAATTAGTGAAATCACTTCCGGAGAATTGAATCAATGCGCAGCATTGGCTGTAACATTATGGGATATGCATAAGGTGCATAAACTATTTTCATGCCCTTGTAGTAACAAAATGAGCATGTTATTGCCATGGAAAATCGAGTGTCAAGGTTTGTGCTATTGGTTGGAACTGAATGTCAGGTGTTTAATAAATGAGAAGATATTGTTGGCTTTAAAAGCATACATAGGATCTTGGTTTAGATATGGTTTAATTCATCTTGCAAGTTTTATAGCACGCTATTTGGTAATAGAGACTAAATCTAATCTTGCCTTGTTTTGAATTAGTTCCAATAGAAGTTTTAACACTCAAATATTGAAACTTTACCGCGATAGAATCCCTAGCTCCTCAAACTCATCAGGTTCATCAGGTTTTACACTAATCCAGTCTGAATGTGACATTTTAGCCTTTAGTCCGTGGCAGAGTGCTTCCTTTGGACAGATTTGTGTCGTTTTGTTGTGGGTAGGCTGCCCGTGAGATTAAAGGAGGCCCTGCCTCCTCCTGTCCTCACATGGAATATAACTGTGCCTAACACCTTTCTGTCAGTAGGCCAAGATTCCTGTTTGTGTGTGTAGGGACAAGGGAATGATAAACAATATACTCCCTATTAAATAGACAGCTCCTGGGAAAAGCCCAAAGTATGGGTCAGTGGACAGTTGGGTGTTTAATATTTGAGAATAAGCCAGTCAAGATAATAAGGGACATCTAGTGTTGGCATTCAATATTCGGTTAGCATCTTAAAACTTCATATGATGGCAATGGTGGTGGTATGGTGAGAGGACAGAGGTAGTATTCTCACAGCAGTCAAGTGGGCCAGATATTCATATTATTCTCAAATTTTATAAGTATCAAAGAGAACTGCCATACCATTGCCATACCAACACAGCTACTATGTGATAGAACCAGGCTTTGAACATAGTTTTCTGGTCTCAATTGCATGTTATTGCTATTCATTAATCTAAGTAGAAAAAGTGAACTTTCTGTTGTGTACTCTTTATGCTAAAGAATATTTATTTGATGTGAAACGTGGAAGGACTCTAGAAGTATTATAAGCCTGTCATACTAAACAGAAAAGGTAGTTGTCTGTAGCAGACAGTTTGAAAATATGCACTTACTATTTACTTCATATATTATTGCAGCCTTTTATCTTCCATAACAAATTCTCCTAAACTGGAGCACAAGACATCAGAGTGTGTAACACCAGCAGACAGTGACAACGAGAAGGGAGAAAGAAACAGCCGACGAGTGTGTTTCAACGTAGCGGGAGATGAGCAGGAAGATTCCGGTCATGACACCATCAGCAACAGAGACTCTTACAGGTAGTTCTCATGAATTCTTCCTCAACCTCATGTTGTCACCAGGATCAAGTGTGATTCTGTATTTTCCACAGAGGCCTTGAAAAGGTTTTCAGTTGTTGGTTTTGTTTATTCTTCTTTCAAAATAATTATCGGTTATTACCAACATCAGACAAAGCAGTGTGGGACAGCATAATCTTTGAAATTCTTCCCTTTTATAACCTGAATAACTTGGAAAAGGTGTTTTTTTCTCCAGCTCTGTACACCTAACTTGGGAGATTCGTTCTGTAAACAGATTTGTGACATGTATAGCAAATGAGAAGATTATTAATACATTTTACCAACACCATTTTCAGGTCATTGCTTCATTGGATTCTTTTTGCCCTGTGTCTCCATTTGTTTTTACAATCTGTGTTCCAAGCTAGTTGGGCTAATTTCATTTGCTCACTCCCCTGACTATCTTTGTGTTTGTTTCTTCTCTTGCCTGCTTTCTGTGTTAGTTGCCTATAGTTGCTATCACAGAGTATCCCAAACTGGATGGTACAAACAACAGAAATTTAGTATCGTAATTTTGGAGGCCAAAAATCTGAAGCAGTGTGTAGACAACATTGGTTGCTTCTGAGAGATGTATGTGTTCCGGGCCTCTTTCCTTCCTTCTGCGTGTTACTTGTGTCCAAATTTTCCCTCCTTATGAGAATACTAGGCATACTGAACTAAGAACCCATCCTTGTAGTGTCATTTTTAACTCTGAGACATCTGTAAAGACCCTATCCCCAAACAAGGTCATATTTTGAGATACTGAATATTAGACCTCAACACATGAATGGGGTGGCAGGGTACAATTCAACTCACAGTACCGTCACTCAGAACCGTCGTCATCTTCCTACCAGGCTCTTAGGTGAGCCCTCCTCTACTGCATTTCCTTCATTAAAATGGCTTTTCCTTTCTTAAGTCCTTGTATCACTGAAAGCTCATTGAGGCATGTCCTCACCAGCCACAGACACTGTGTGTGCAGCATCAGCGTCTCCTATTTCATTTAAATTAATCAAAGGCAAAACTACCTTATTCACCCTGGTTTGCTGTAGTAGTCTACAATGAGATGATATTGTGTAAATATTAATTAAATTAATGTTACTCCTATCAGAGATAATTGTTACAGACTAACAGCTAGCGTTAAAAATATTTTACCCTAGTATTGGGACTTGAACTCAGGGCCTTGTATACACTTTAAGGATACATTCTACCACTAAAATGTCTTTTTACCCAAAATATGAGGGAGCAGGATGGTTTCAAATAATCCCGAGTACAACCTCATGTGGGTTTTGATAGTAATTTGATCCTACATATAAAGAAATGGAGAAACAGTGGAGCCATAGTTTACCTAGACAACCAGGTGGTCTGGCTTCTAGTCACTCTGGTATCCCAGTTTCTTTTCCAAGAAGGATTTTAACAAATGTATAAAATTTAATTATTCCTGGAGATGTAATAACATATCACACAGATTAACTACTGTTAGCATTTCATTTACTTTTAGCTTCTAAAAGAGCGTATGCTCTTTAATAGAAATCTGGTTTTTCTCCAGTGGGAAATTATGTGTCTAAAAATACTTTCTACTTCTTGTTCTGCTTATCAGATAATTAGTTACCCTCACAGTTTCCCACTAGGTTAAGATAAAAATTTTAAATGTAAATTTACAATTAAGTCCTTTTTAGTTATTGTGAGAGGTAAAAAATAATTTATCTCCTGTGCCATTTCTAAAATACAAATTATGTCCATATTCATACACAAATATTTTAAACATCTTTCCTTGGACATTAACCAGTGTTGAGCTCTTACCTGTGCAGAAGTCTCAGGTGGGGTAGACAAGGTACCTCCCTAAGCGAGCCCAGCATGTAACCAATAAGTTATAATTTAAGCTACCAGAAAATAGTTGAAAGGCAGAATTAGAAACATTGTCTCTATTAGAAAACTATTATCATGAAATAGAATATGAAAAATTGTATGTTTGATCTAACTTACAGTTATCACACATTTTTAAAAAAATCACTTAGAAGTAAATTATATAAGAACATTTGAAATGATTGAGTTTAAAATAATAATTTTTACAAAGAGAGATAAATTGAGTTGGGCAAGTTTGTCCACCTCAAAGTTTCCTATAGAACATATCAATCAATAGAATGCGGACATGTGTGTATTTAATAAGCAATAGCAGGGCGACCTGGGTAAATCCCTCCCACAAGTAACGTACAGTGTGTTCTTCTCAGTGACTGCAGCAGCAACAGGAACTCCATCGCCTCCTTCACGAGCGCCTGCAGCAGCCAGTGCAGCTCGTACTTTCACAGTGACGAAATGGACTCAGGTGCGTTCGGCGGCGGCACGCGCACTTCTGATGTTACTTTTATCGGAGATACTGCTGGAGGGTTACTTCTCTGATCTCTATATACTCTTACCTTTATCATTTTTGGTGGCCTTACAGTTTAATGTGCCTGCTAAAGTCCATTTCCCAATCTGTTATAAAGGGAACGCCTTAAAAAGAAAAGAAAGCTACTTTTTATCATACTGCGTTTTATGATCTTTCTGTGATACTATGGAGAATTATTATCACGGAAATAAGTTTTGTCAAACATATTCAGCACTGTGAAGTTTCAAACTATGGACTTTTTAAAGGCAAGGGAATAGAAATTCCTTTCGTCAGTCAACCAGCTCAAAGGATTGCTGTGGATGTCAGCTATTTTACAGTCCTTGGAAAATTAAAAAGCAAGGTGCAGCAGTGCAAGCCTCATACATGGGAGAAGGGGGAGGACACAGGAGAAGAACTTGATAATCTAAATAGTGTACAAACATCTTATGTTTGCATCTGAGGAGCAAATATTGTTTCACCTAGTAAGAGCAAATACTTTACAGCGATATATTTTAACTGTTCAGCCAGTAGGGAAACCAACCTTTGGGACGAATCATTAGCACGGGGTAGCGCAGTGTTCTGTGCAGCGCTCTGCTCTCAGCATCGTGGGCACTATTCAACCATCTAGAATTCTTATTCGGAATGTAAGAATTAGTGTGGAATAAGGGCTTATGTTTATTTTACTTAACATGACACTATTTTGAGATGTTAACTGTAACGTGAAGTGAATGACTTTTTTGTTGTTTGTTTTACATGTAGGTGATGAACTTCCCCTGAGCGTTCGCATTTCTCATGAGAAGCAGGACAAGATACATAGTTGCCTTGAGCATCTTTTCAGCCAGGTAGGTTGGGGAAGCTGTGGGTCTTTTTTTTTTTTTCCCCAAACTAAACAGTGAGGAATTCCTTTTTCAGACACAGTAAAAGGGCTTGAAGGTAGAATGGAAATGTTTCAAACTATGGCTCCAGCCCCTTCCATTTAAAAGGAGAATACAGATCCCTTCAGTCAGTCAACCAACTCAAAGGATTGTTGTGAATATCAGCTATGTTACAGTCCTTGGAAAATTAAAAAGCATCATACACAAAGAGATGCTGTTTTGATTATTTTGGATTTTTGTCAGAGGGACTTTCAGAATACTCTATGACTTTTCTTGCTCTACATTATTCCTAATTTCAAAAAGTACAAGATTGCCTTATGTTCATATTGGTATTTTGCATATTTAAAAATAATCAAAATTTGTAGTGTAGAAATGTTTAATTGCTTTGAAAAGTATTCTAGTAAGTTTTACCTTTTTTGAAATAGCTCCTGGTCTTTCCTTTTCTTCATCAAGTAAATTGATATTTTGTATTATTGTATGGTAAGACAATAAGCAATGTCATTGCAACTGAGAGGTAGGCAGAGAATTTTTTTACAATGTTTTATTTAAATATAGATTTCATAAGCATCATAGAGTTTCAGAAATAATTCTTTCTTTAAGTAATGTGTATTTAATGAGATTTGGTTTTAGAAATATATATTATATACTGTGAGAAGTATGTGATTCTCAGAAATCTTCTGTTGATAGGTGGATTCAATTACCAATCTCCTAAAAGGCCAGGCTGTCGTAAGGGCCTTTGAACAAACCAAGCATCTCACACCAGGTCGAGGATTACAAGGTAAGGTTTAAAAATACTTACAAAAGAAATCCGGAAACAAAAGGTAATAGATAATACAGTCATAAAGCGACACGATCACCTCAGGAAAAATTCTGATTGTTCATATTCCCTAGGTCACTGACTGCTATTTCTATATTAATAATCTTTGAATATGTTAAAAAATTAGAAGCTGGGTGACATAGTGCATGCCTATAATTCTGGGTTGCGAAGGCAGGAGAATTACAAGTTTGAGGCCAGTCTGCATAACTTAGTGTGATACCCTACCTCAAAATGAAATTAAAAAGAAAAAAATGGTTAAGGGTGCGCCTCAGTGGTAGAGAGCCTGCCTTGCATATGTGAAGCCTGGCACGCAATCTCTTTAACACTACAACACCAAAAAAGTATAGATTTTTATTATAGATCACTATAGACCTTTTAGTTTTCTTTAAGAGTTTAAAAAGTCTAGTATGTGAATGGAGTAGGCCAAACAATTGTGTTAATTAAAGTTACATAAGTGCTGCATTGCTTTTACTGAAACCAAGCATAATGCCTATTTGGTTATATCCCAGGATGAAGAAAGAAACTACGAAATATGAATTTCCAGACACAACAGCCAAACAGAACAGGATACATAGCTAATACTTTCTGACATCTAGTTTAGGGTATTTAGAGTGTTCTTCTATGTTCTTTGTTGAAATATTTATTATTAAGATTTGACTTTTCAAATTTAACAAATTTTCTGCTATGGGTTGGCTGAGGAAATTTCCATCATGACACTATTTTAGCATGACAGTAATAAAGCAAAGAGAATTTTGAAGCCTAAGGGCTTAACTGTTTGGGAATTGGTTGAGGATTGAGAGATTTTTCTGTTTTTATTCAGAATTTCAACAAGAAATGGAACCAAAGCTGAGTTGTCCAAAAAGGTTAAGGCTTCACATCAAGCAAGATCCTTGGAATCTTCCCAGCAGTGTCCGGGCTGTTGCTCAGAACATCAGAAAATTTGTTGAAGGTCAGTGTGAACAGCAAAAAATGTTGTATGATATCAGCAATAATCATTTTAAGACCCATTAAAGCCAAAAGACTGGTCATGCTTCATTACTCTTTGCAGTGTTTCATTTTGTGAGGAAATAAAAGAAATGAAATGGGTGAGGGAGGAAGAGAGAAAGAAGCAAGACTGCAGAACCCTGTGTTCCAAGGATCAGAACATTTTAGAGAATATCATGGAGAATATTCTCAGTGAATAAAATAAGGCTCATACTTAGAAAAACAAATGGATTATCGAGGGCCTTTAATATATTTCTGATACAAGAAAGTTTCAAAAGATTCACAAGAAACATGAAGCCTAATGTTATGGAAAGTCTAAAAAAATCAATTGTGAATCTGTATGAGAATGAAAGTAATTACATAATTTTCATCATTATCTTTTGAGTTCCTTTTCAGAAGTGTTTGTCTCGGTTGATTATCATTATGACATTGTTTACATGACATCCTATGATTGGAGATGTAAAACATGGGACAACTCCACTGCATCTGATTGCATATTATTTGGGGTCCGAGTTATACAACAGAAACTTCTGAGAGTGTCCAATGATTATGGCAGAAAATATGAAGAGAGAAACTTACGTACTTTGAAAAATTGTCTAAAGCGTCTGCCTGGCAAGCGCAAGGTCGTGAGTTCGGTTCCCGGTACCGGAGAAAAACCAAAAAAAAAAAAAAAAAAAAATTTGAAAAATTGTCTAATTTAGCAGTTCTCTTCCCAGCGATTAGGCTGGTGGCTAGCGATGTCTGGAGATATTTTTGATGGTAACAGTTCTGAGTGTCCCACTGGCTCCTACTGAGTAAAAGCCAGGTATGCTGCTAAACACTGTGTAATGTATACAACAGTCCTTCACAACAAACAATTATTTGGCCCCCAATGTTATTACTAAGGTGAAGAAACAGGAATGATAACTATCATGCCTTTGTTTACATTTTTATTCCTTGATCCTTTGTATGTTACTTAGGTATTAACATAACTCCAATAACTACATTCTTAGGGCAGATTAGAGAACTATATGCTATACTGACAAAAGACAGTTCTTTATATCTGACGGAGTCTGAATGAGTCACTTAAGTCTTTATCTCCAACTTCCTCATTTATTAAATAGGGATGGTTCAAATGTTCTGTGATTACTGAGTTTTCAGTATAAAAAATTTCTCAGATACAATGGCCCAAATATTGTTTCAGATTGGTAGAGAGAAAGACTATAAGTATGGAATGCTTTACCAAACAAATCACAGCAGTTCTATTATGTGATGAAATCTTTTGCTCTTCACAGCTGGGTTTCTTGGCTGTCTTTTTGCCCTATGGCTTAATAACATGGTTACCTGTTGAGCTTTGTAACATTACATTTAGCAAAAATTCAGAATTAACTGCCCCAAATACCAAATATCAAAAATGATAAATTTACTTTTCAGTTTACAGAATTGAAGCATATACCTTACAAAGTAAAAGGTAGATATTCTTGAATAGATGCTAGTAACATAATGCTCATCGAAGCTATAAATCCTACAGTTTCTTATTACCACATTTTTTCTTGTCAATGATGAAAATTAATTCAATTAATTTGCTTTTAGAGAAAATGTAGTATCAATTTGGAATGGGCAAAGTCTTGAACGTTTTTATTGCATGTGAAGAACTTTATCTTTGAGATATAAACTTGTAATTCAGGATAGAAAACAGTACTTCAGAAAGTATTTATTCTGAGACCCTTACATTCACAGCTCAGGTCCTGATTTTGTACTCTCCGTACCTCACACTGGAATTGTCAGCTGTCTACAATAACTACATCCACACTGATTGGTTGATGTGGGCTGTGGATATGGGTGCCTCTCTAGCCCCTAGCAGCCCGCTAGCTGGTTGGCTGTGGTTGAGTGTGGTGAGAATATTATTACTAGTGGAGACATTTTTACTTGAGTAACCAACCACCGCCATTAAGAAACACATTTTGAATTCTTCACTTGCTATAAAAGTTATGGTCTTTTCAAAAATCTCTTTTTTTGCAGCCACTGAGTTTTTCACTTTTTTTTTTTTTCTGTATTTAGCCTTGTGTCTGAAAACATACCTCTTCATTTTCTGCCTTTTTCATAATAGTGGTGATTTTCTGGCTAATATCTCTGTCCTCATCTTTTTCTGATTCATATATGCCTTTAATAGGTTCCTCTTCCTAAAATATGTTCATGATTTCAGTACTCGGCCCCACAGCCTTGTGGCACTTTTCTGTTAATAAATCTGGACTCATTAATCTGATATTAGAAGCTGCTAATATCAGTGTGGCTTTCTAACTGTGTCCCAGTGTCAGCCTCTTGATGACATCATAAAATCAGTGCCACATCATTTATCTTTTTGTTGTTTATTCTCCAGTATATTCCTTTGCTAGCACTATTCCTACTTTCCTGTTAAGAAGCTCCTCCCCTAGTGCTCTAAATTTTCAAATTTTTATGAAATATTTTCTAGTCTTAGAATTCTGTCCCAGCTTCAGGTAAGTTTATATTCTAACAATACCTTTCAAAGATTTTTATTATATATTCCCATTTATTTTTTCCTACTTGGGCTCATAAAGTTGCCAAGATTGATGTTATCATCATTTATGAATGAGCTAGTTGAGCCTCAAAGTAATTTAGCAAATTTTCTAAAGCCACAAAGTTATAATATAGCAGGTCAGTTTTCTCTTAGATCACCATGTTTTCCTGCTTTTGTTCTTACAACCTCACTTGTAAAATTTAATGCCCTTTAAGGTATTTCCAGCATTTCTTATCAGTTAAATCTGCCTCTCTCTTTTGTGAACCTTTCTAGAATAAGATGCAGCGTAAACTTTTTTGCTTCTCATAATATCCATAATATTGGACTCATAGAAGGAAATTTGTGAATTTGTAAATTTACCTGTTGAAAGTGAACTCTTTAGCAAATGGATGTCTAGCTCATTGAACACAGTAGTGAGTATAAAGTTAATATGTACTTGCAAGTCTGAATTACATGTCTGTAATTGGCTCAGTGTGAGATAAGGTGGAAAAGAAAAATATGTATATGTTTGACAGTTTAATGACACACACGACAATAGCTATAGATGTTGAAAGAACACCATTCAGGCTGAAACATCTAAAATGACCTACAAAATTAGGAACATTTGAATGGTGTTTCATTGTCTCATTTAATTCAGAAATGGAAGATATTTTAGGGTTTAAGTAGTTGGTAGAATTTATATGAACAGGCAAGAGTGGCGTGTCAAAGAAATGGGATTTTTATTACCTAGTGTACTGACATCATACTCATCTTTATCACTCAATTAAAATGTGATGTTGGTCACAGAAAAAAGAGTGAAAAATTAACTGAAGTGTTCCTTTTTCCTTTCTTTGCAGAGGTAAAGTGTAGAATACTCCTGGCTCTTCTTGAATATTCAGGTAACATTTGCAATATTTTTACTATTCGAAGCAATCATGGCCTCATATCTTAGAAGTCTAATAATATAAAGGCAACGCCTGCAACTATTTACAAAGATAAACGGGCACATATAATCTCTGCCTTTTGTAAAATGTGGAAGATTTTAAAAACTACCTTCATATACTTTTCACAAAAACTTAATATAGATGCTTGCATTTGATTATTAGTGAAAATAGGAAAATATTTATGCTGTGTCATTAAAAGGGAGCAAATTTAGGTACAATTAACTGCAAATAAGACTTATTGAGATACAGATTTAATGTTTTAATGAGTAAAAGTATAGGGAAACATTTTATAAATCTTAATCATATAATAGTACTTCTAACATGTGAAAATATTAGCAGGGTAAAATTACACTGAAAAGTAATTAAATACTTGATCACGTCTGCAGAACATAATAGACTGCGAACCTTATGCAGGCAGGAACTTTTGTTCTCTTTCTTTGCTTCTTTCCTTTCCTTCCTTACTCTTTCTTTCTCTTTCTCTCTCTCTCTCTCTCTCTCTTTCTTTCTTTCTCTCTTTTTCTTTCTCTCTCTCTGTCTTTTTGAGACAGGGTCTCACTTTGTAGTGCAGGCTAGCTTCAAACTCACTGCTATCTTCCTGCCTCAGCCTCCTGGGATTACAGGTGTGTACCTAAAATAATAGTTTGCACATAGTGTTCACCAAATATCTGTTGCAAGAATGAATAAAAATTGATTTCAATGAAAAAGGAAAAAAAGCTGTGATATATTTCAACAAGATTTTATATAAGATGGATTTAAAAAGGATATGGATTATAAAGACTGGGAAAACTCAAATACATGCCATCCAATAAGAGTGAACAATTTACTATTATGTAGCTATGTATCTTTTTTTCTCTAGATTTAAGGAGATAGAAATATATTCATAATCATATTTCTATTTTAGTCTGTTTCTCAAGTGTGTGTATATAAATACAGAAACAAGTGCTATCTATTATAACTCCTTTTTGGTAAGAATTTGTAACCAAAAATATAAGCTGAACAAAACCCTGTTAAATCAGTTAGTTTTTATTATGTTTAAAAGTTGCTTCCATTCTTTGTGTCTTAAAACAATAAGCATTTATCATTCCTTGTGTGTCTAGTGTCATGCCACTTATTCTGATGACCTGTGCCAAGTTTTGTTGATACTGATTGGGTTTTCCCATGCGTCTGCAGCCAGGTGGTAGATTGGCTAGGCACAAGTGACCTAGGGTGACCTCACTCACACATGCAGTGAGTGGATACTGATGATGGCTGGGATCCAGGACGAACTGAGCCACAAGTCCATCATCATGAGAGAGGCTAGCCTGGGCTTATTCATGTGGTGGATTTGAGTGCATAAGAGCTCAACATCTTCTGTTGGCCAAGGTATATAACTGGCAGACTTAGAGATGAAAGTTGATGAGACAAAGCCTCTGCTGTTTCTTTTGAGATGGGGTCTCATTATGTTGCTTGGGCTGGCCTGCAGTTCCTTTGGTCCTCCTGGAACAGCATCTTGAGCAGCTAGGGCTATAAGTATGCACCAGTATGTCTATTTCTGGGGATTCTGACTTTGATGGGAAGATGCTCAAAATTATACAACAAAGGTCTGGATAGAGAGAGAAGAATTTATGAGCACTTTTACAAGCTACTACACTTGGAAATTTTCAATTATAAATGGATAAAAGAGCCCAAGAGGGCTTTTTTACTGGTTGGTTGGTTTTGCTTTAATTAAATAAGTTTCTGCCTTGCTTTTGACTCTATAGTAATGATAATAAAAGTATCTCACTGTTTTTGAGCTTTACTAATAACACACTTGAAGAACCCATTTTCACAGATCTCATTGGGTCCTTGCAACCCTATAAGAGATTATTATTGTTTTTACAGTTTTACAGGTAAATAAGTTGACCCTCAGACAGATTAATAATACATAGTGTTATAGGTTGTGTCTAGATGTGCCCCCAAAGCCTCATGCAGTCAGTCATAGGTGGGTTTTCTGGAGATGGCTGGGTCTAGGATGTATAATGGTGGGGTTAAAGTTACACCTGGATGTGAGTGCTACCCATTCTTAGGGAGCCTAGCCTGGACAGAATATAAGGGGCAGAAGGAGGGCTGTTGTCCTATTGCTTGCTGCTTGCAAATTCAGTGCTGGCCTTCTGCCTACCCCACCATGCCATGGTTCTCCTCTGCAATGCCTCTCTGCCAGCTCGGAACCGATTGACTGTGGACTAAAATTTCTGAAAACTGTGAGCCAAAACAAAGTTTTCTTCCTTTAATATTAGGTATTGGGTATTTTGTCTCAGCAATGAGAAAAATAAGTAGTAAATGGCAACTAGTATATGGCATTCATTCAAAGCATAGTTTTGAGTATCAAAGACTAGGCAAATTACACCTTACTGAGTAGGTGAATAAAGCAGCTGGTGGCAGTTTTGAAATTCAGACTTAGTTTGTCAATAGCCGAGGTGATCCTGGAATACGGTGGGTGGATTAACTAACAGTCAACTTGTAACACCCCAGCTGAACTTAATCAGTGTGATTCTGGGTGTGGAAAGCCCACCTGAGGATCATTGCTACAGCATAAAAGGAGAACAAGAGGGGAAGATGGTGTGCTGTTGATTCTCCTGGAGATGCTTGTCATGCTGGTTTCTTGATATGAATTCAGCTGTTCTCATTATCGGAGGAGCTTGGGTCCTTACTGCTTACTTAAGGTTCTCTTCAGGGGAACTCTAGTACTTACCTTGAGCATCACTTCCTGGCTGCAGTGCAGATCCCTCAGCCTGGCACAGATTTTTTTATCCTGCTGATGCAGACTTTCTAGCTTCTACCACTGGCCTTTGGGCCTTCCTAGTACAGATCTTTGACACAAACTTGCATGAGACCTAATTGTGGGCTGTAGGCCTCCAGCTGGACCATTGTAGGACATTGCTGTGGGATCCAAGCCCTTAGCTGGATGCTTTGAGTCCCTAGTGCATAGGCAGATCTCTTGTGCTCTTTAGTTGACTTTTCAGGTGAATATTACAAGATAATTCTATAAATTATGTGTCCTGTATTAACTCTATTCCCTTGCAAATCCTGACTACAACACTTTGCTTTATTCGCTGCTATTCAAATGTTCTGGTAGGTGGTTACTTTGATTTCATTTTCTTTTTTTTTTTCCCTACCATTATTCTTTTTCCTCTTTTGTTTGCTTACTTCTTTTCCCACTTATACCAAAGCAATAGCCAAGTTATTGTATGTATTTGCCTATGAAATTATGGTCTTCAGTTGAAAAGGGTATATTGCATCTACTAGTATTATTCACCTTTCCTATTGTTAGACAAAATACCTGACACCTACATCTTAATCTTGTTCAGTTCACTGTTTTAGAGGATTTAGTCCATGGTCTACTGGCTTTGAGGCAGACACATCACGGTGGAAGTTGTGGCTGAACAAAGCTGCTCACTTTATGGCAGTTGGGAAGCAGAGCAAGGAAATAGTGTCAGAGAGGAAGTGGGTGGGGACCTGATACAGACTCAGGTCATGTCTTCATGGCCACTCACTCAGCCTGAAATGTACTTTACTAATCACCTAGGCAGCTTGCAAGCCAATTATGTTGCCAGGCTTAACTGAAACACTACTAAATATTATGTATTTCTTCACCCCTTTCATTCCTACTTTTATGGTTTGTGTCTGGATGTCCCCTCAAGGCCTCATGCAGTCATGGGTGCAGGCTTCTAGAGTTTATGACTGATCCATGGTCCAGTGCTGGGATTGTGGGTGTGAGAGCTATACCAGCCCTTGGGTGGGTAGTTTGCATACAGTGCAAGGGAGGGAAAGAGGTTTGCTCTTCCTGTTGCTCCTCCCTTTTGCTGCTGTTGCTTTTGCTGTTTTCCACTGCCGTGAACTGTTGCCCTGTACCATGTGCCACTCTGCCTTGGAGCCAGCCAAGTATGGACTGAAACCTCCACAAACTGTGAGCTAAATAAACCTTTCTTTCTTTAATTTTGGGTGTCAGGTTTTTTGTCTCAGCAATGAGAGAAAAGTAACCAAGACAACTACCTTTCTTCTTCTCAAATATGCTTTTACTATTATTCTTTATTCATTTTGTTTTCCTTTCCCTACAGTCTCTACATCAGAATAATGTCTGGGATTAGTTGTGTGTATCTAGAAATCACCTCATTATCTTTTGACCAGCTAGCTAATTATAGAATTTGAACTTTTTAAACAGCTGAAATTAAGTGAAGTGTTGATATTTTAAAATATATTTGTAGATGAGTTTATTAGGTGCTTAAGTACTCAAATGAAACTGAAGCCTTTGATAGGTACAAAAATCATTTATTTTGCATGTATTCCCACTGCAAGATAAATCTTATTTTATGAAAGCAGTAAGAAAGTTATCAAGAAACCCAGAGCTCCTTGCTTTTCTTCTTTGCTAGAAGCTGAAAGTCACTGTTGTACTTCTGGCTGTAGCCTTGATAAAAATAGAGTGAGAAGATCTTTGGAAAAGGAAGGACATTTGTGAATTTTGAATGGCTGCATAATTAAAAGTGAAAGACTGGATGTTTTTCTGGGAGCATATTTTGGTGTGTTTCTTTATTTATCGTAGTGCTGCTTCTCCATTCAGCAGAAAAATGGAGCACTCACTCAGTGCCTGCAACTGCTATAGGCTAGAAAAAGGAGGAATCACAATAATTCTACCTAATTTCACTTTGTAACATGCCATTATGGCTTAAATCTAAGATTTTCCCCCAGAGGTCACATGTTTGGAGGGTGATGGAGTCGTGAGGGCACTAGACCCATCCACAGAGTCATCCGTTGACAGGTCATGAGTAAATGTCCTCCTAGTTAGAGGACAGTGACTGGGGGAAAGGCCTGGAAATGTGTGTTTGTGTCCCAGGTTCCTTCCTTCTCTCTCTGCCTTCTGGCCGCCATAGGTTAAGTGCCCTTCCTCTGTCAGGCCCCTCTGCCCTCTTGCTTTGGAGCCAGCCAACCATGGACTGAAACCTTGAGCCAAAATAAACCTCTCCTCCAAGTTGTGTTAGGTGTTTTGTCCCAGGATAAGAAAGTGACAAAGACAAGTGCTCTAAATGTTTTTTTTAATCTCATTTATCTTTATGGCAGACCTAAAAAGTAGGAATGCACCCCATTTTACAGCTAGTGATGTTTCCTAATATGTGGTTTGTGATGGGCAGCTAAATGGAGAGACTATGCCTATACTGCCCATAGGGGGCGTAACTCGTAATATAGGTGCTTCTCCTCTTTCTGGTCATGGATGGTCCTCGGGGAACATAAACATTTAAAGGAACTCTCACAGTGCTGTGTAATTAGCTCCTTCACAGAGGGATGCCCCAAGTCTGTGGTGACAGAAAGCAGTTTGTGGTACTTGCTGGGAAAGAGAGAAAATTTCACAAGGGGTGGGCAGGTGGACTATTGCATTAGTTTAGTAAGCTTCAGTAGTTCAAGTTGACTATTGAACAATGATCTAAAGATAGCTAGATGGAAAGGAAAGGATAAGCGTGCTGACAGAACTCAAACAAAATGGATTGTCAGGGCATTTAGTATTTGATGGCTGTTGAGCAGTAACGTATCTTAGAGGGTAGGTGTGTGCATTCTTTGCTCTGGTTGCTTTCAGATCGGTTGTTTTATTATATTCTCACTGCAGCGCTGAAGATGATTGCTAGACTGTGAGATGTGTGGAGGGAAAGGAAACACTGTGAAGCTGAAAACGCAGTGGGGATATATTCAAGACCTTGTTTATTCTACAGTTTTCTAAGTTTGGCATTCACTGTGAGATGATAATTCAATAAAAGTTCTGGAAAAGCTCTTGAGATGGGTGTAGTTTGAAGCCTACGCAAGCAAGTCATGTGCTGCATGTTAAAAACAGGAAAGTAGTGAAGGCACATCACCTTATGAAGTCTTGAGGGTTTATTAAGTGTCTGTCATCTTAAAATATGTTGGTTTAAAATTTAAATGGCAGTGTGACCCAAAGCTTGGTGTGTATGTATCTCAGTCACTTTATTGTGAGCAGACATGTCTGATTCCACTTTGGAATTCATCCAGTAAGTGATGCAAGCTTTACGGTCTGTGGGCATTCACTGTTAAAAGTTTGAATTAATGAGTGAATATAACTTTTATGTGACAGTGAATATAACTTTTATCCACAGGTTCTGTACATTGCAAACACTAGTGAATGTTGTGATTCACTAATGAGAGTGAATTAAAATCTTAATTTGACTTTAATGCATATAGAATATATACAGTAGTGGACAGCAAATTAAATATTTAATTATTCTTTTTTGAATAAAAAAGAAGAAATTCCAATTTCTTTTTAAAAACATTTTGGAGAGAATTATTTTTGCAAGTAGCAAGATTGTTAACCCTTGTGATCTCTTCCGAGGATTGCAATAGATCCAGAGCCTTCCTTCCCTACACTTCTGCTTCTTACCCTTAATATCAGCAGTTTCTTTCAAATTAGATTTTATGAAGTTATTCTCGGGTTATAGGTGGGAGGATTCCTGCCAAAGCTTCTGAAGTATTTTCAAATTTCAGCCAGGTTTTCTGCTTGAATGTAAGACAATTGAAAAGAAAAGAAAGAATATAAAAGGAAGATTAAGACAACTTTTTCATATTGAACTTCTATCTTAAATCTCAATACTTCAGCTCCACATTGGAGCTAACAATCTCTCTAAAGTATCCTCTTAAATTGAATTGAATGCAGAGTACAAGAAACCTGAGAATTAATTCATACATTTATTTTCACTTAATTTTTAGCTCTACTAAGCCATTATTTTTGCTCACGCTTTCAAAGTATATTAAATTTCTACTTTCTTTTATAAATTGTGCAGAACAAAATAAATGTTTTGTTTTTTTCTTGAGAATTGGACAAAGTTTGTTACATATTTAGAGGTTTTACTGCTATCTGTATAACACTCTTTCCTGTCTAGTAAGTAGCATAGGACATACGGTATAGACCTACTTAAGAGAAAAGTCTTAACACAGTAGTGTATTTGAATTGCATGGAATTGCCATTTTCAAACATGTGGACCTACCAAAACAGCAAGTTCATATAGCTCAACTTAACAAAGGAATATTTTCCATATAAACTTAAATATTTTAATGTTTAATATATTTTCCAATAAAATTTTCAAGAGTAGGTGTTACTACCAGTGAAACTAATACACAGAAACTACATTATGTGTACACATGCTTTTGAGGGTTACAAAAAGGGGATGTTCAATATTCGTGTCAAACGTAATAATAACTCTTCCTCTTTGTCAGTTAAACAAGCATTCAGCACTAAAGAAAGGTTGCATTTATCTCTGTTTTACAGTAATATTGACAGTGCTGCTTTTTTGCAGAGGGTTCTAAAGCCTTCAAAATATTCAGTACACTTTTCAAAGGAGATTATTTTTCTATATGTTGTCCTTCTAGTGCACATGATTTTTCAAAGTGCAGTATGTGTGTCCTCGTTTATGTAATTCGTCTACACTAGCCACTGAAAGAAGTTAACCTAGCATGTAAGCTTCTTTTTATATGAAAAAAACCTGGCTCAGAAATGGTAGTTCACAAGGCGAACACATCTTCAAAGGGAGTATTAGAACTCCAGTTAGCTGCAGGATGCGTCTCATAGTAAACACTTAAAAATCAGTACTTATATGAAAGAAATCATTAGAATTCTAATCCCTATTAAGTTTGATGTGTTTATTGCTCATTAAATCAAATGTCTGAATTTGGGAGATAGAGATTTGATAATTATTACAAACAATTGAACAGCAAATATTCTGTCCTCATATGCATTTCACATTAATATTTGGAAAGGTTTAATAGATTTTTTTAAAAAGTATTAGTGATACTGGATTTCATTTGTTAGCACAAACTCAGGAAACTGGAATTTGAGTCATTGTAGCACATGAAAATTTTATCCCATCGTAAAGTGAATATAAGTAACTGAAGTGTTATTTTTCTCACGTTTTATAAAACAATCTAATGATTCCAGAGGAGAGTTTCAGTATCAATTATGAAAAAATATTCTAGTATTTCTAAATATTTTGGTGTTCAACGTTTGCTAGAATGTATAATTGCTAAAATATTTGTGCTCATTAATACACTCAAATTTATGCTTTTCACATGGCAGGAGGTGATGAAAAGATGAAATACCAGTGCATGTAGGTGCTTAGTGAATGGGTTTTCGTACCTGTGACATTTTTCACAGCTCTTCTGTTCTCGGTTATCACAGACAGTGAAACGCAGCTCCGGAGAGACATGGTTTTCTGCCAAAGCTTGGTGGCCACGGTCTGTGCCTTCTCTGAGCAGCTCATGGCTGCTTTAAACCAGATGTTTGACAACAGCAAGGAAAATGAGATGGAAACTTGGGAAGCCAGCAGAAGGTGGCTTGAGCAGATAGCAAATGCTGGTGTTCTTTTTCACTTTCAGTCACTTCTGTCGCCAAACTTGGTAAGGAATCACGTGAGTCCCTGTGTCTGTCAGCTCTAACTTGCATTATCACGTTTCCCAAATGAAGTGGTTGGTCCTTCCCCCCTCGTGACCTGCATCATTACTGTATCAGCGCTTGTTAACCTACTTCAAGGGACATATTTTCCATAGTCTTTCAAGTTTTAGTAATTATGTAGAATGCAGTCCTTCTTCTCTGTGTTTTATTTCTCCTCTGTGGCTGCTAAAAGCTGAGAAAACTCTATCGGTTACTATTTCTGGTATCGCTGAGCACTGACTGAACAAGGTCATCAGAAGAAAGAGGGTCTTTCTGCTGCTATTCTTCTATGGAAATCAGAAGAAACAGCCTGCCACAAAACCTTGCTTCTAATGAGGTTGATAATCTGGATGGCACTTGATAGATGAATTAAGGCGACTCCCATACTATAATGTCTAACAATCTGCTTGAAATTTGCATGTGTTAAGTAATTTTTAGTTCTTTCCTTTGTGTGCATATTTGCTCTGTTGCATCTAAGAGCACTGCACTAACTGAAGTAAAACATACCATGTTTATGCATCCAGAGTGCATATGATGGAAGCATTTTGAAATATTTTAAAAATAAAACTATGGTAAACTAGGAGTTTTTCACATGTACTCTCTGAGGTTGTGATATGTGTCGTGATATTTCAAGGCACAAATGTTCACTTTTACAGAGAAATTTTAGGTGCTCATTAAATAGAATTAATGAAATTGTGGTTTTAAACATGAGAGCCTGTTTGATGTGTTAGAGCACACATAGAAAATAGAACTGCCAAGTAGTATGATCGAGATATTAAACATATATATATATATATATATTAGATTAAAATGTAGTTTTCTCCAGTGGTGTTTAGGGCAGAGAGATGATTTCTGCACTGCATAACCTAGAATATTCTGGAGTGATTAGTTAAGGAAATCAATCTCGGTGTACTTTAAAGAAATAGAAGTTGATTCTTTAAAAAAATGTACACTATAATTATGTGTGATCAATTCCTTATCTGTTTCATTGAAAATAAGGAGCTTTTGAAAGTGCTTAAAAATAAAATGCAAATTATTGTTTATCGAATGAAAATTGTGTATTTATAGGAAGCCCACTGTCTAACATATGGTAAGCCTTACCTATTTTTTGAGTGAGTAAATGAATGAATGAGGCTTCATTTACATTCTGTTCTCCATACTTTAAAACTGCTATGGTCTAATCAAGTGCTGCTACTTTTACTTTAAACTTGATTTTATTTGCATTCTCATGAAATAGAAGAAAATATTTACAAATCATACAGCTAATAAATGATTTATATCCAGAATACATATAAAAGCATCCTTAAAACTCAGCAGCAAAAGACAAATGACCCAATTTTAAAGTGCTGAAAGATTTCAGTCGATATTTTTCCAGAGAAGACATAAAAATGACCAATAAGCACCTAAAATGATGATGAACATCATTAGCCATTAGATAACTGTAACTTGAACACAGAATGCAGTGCATGTCATATGGATGGCTGCAATCCAAATGACAAGAGCTGCTGAGAATATGGAGAAATTGTAAGCCTCATAAATTTGTTATAGGAAGACAAATTAGTGCAACCATTTTGCAAAAGTTTAGCACTTCATCAAAATGTTAAACACTGAGTTTCCATGTGACTAAGAAATTCTATTCCCAGGTAATACCCAACAGAAACAAAAGCTCACATTCACAGAAAAACTCACACACAAATATTCCTAGCAAGCCTACCTATAATAGCTGAAAAATGAAGCAACCCAAATGTTCATCAACAGCTGAATGGATAACAACGTGCAGTACACCCATACTGTGAGATATTATTCAGCCATAAGAAAGAATGTAAAGCTGGTACGTGCCATGGCACAGCTGGACCTAGTGAGCATTACGCTGAGTGAAATTAGCCATCCCAAATGACCCCACAACGTCCGATGCCGTGAAACATGCTAAAGAAGTAGGCTTTAGAAAATTAGGTAGTGGTTACCTAGGCTAACGATTGGGGAAATGAGCATGGGGAGTGTGTGGTAGTGGGTGCTGTTTCTTCTTGAAATAATGAAAATATCCTAAAATTAGACAATGGTGATAGCTACCCAGCTCCATGAATACACTGTAAGCCCCTGAGCTGTACATTCTGAATGGGTAACTTGCATAGTATGTGATTCATGTCTCAGTGATACCATTCATTTTTAATAACTAATCTTGTGAATCCTTTACATTTATTTTTTAAATTGTTGTAAAATATCCAAAGGTTATTCAAAAAGGAAAATAATCAAAGACATTTGTGGTCCTTCTGCCTCTATTTCAAGAATATATAACCCATCTGGGAACATAAATGGCTCTCTGGGAGCTGCAGCCACTGGGGTCTGGGTGTCCCTGAGCTATGGGCTCATCTGGTTGTCACACGGCTGTGCCTTTGACCTCGCCTGCTGGAACAACATGGCTTGTTCTGTAATACTCAGAGGCTGGACTGTTGGAAATGTTTCTTCCTATGTGGATTCTTCTCAATCGGAAACATGCTGATTCTTCAGTCAGGCCCTTCCTTTTTAGGTTCAAGGCATTCTGGTGTTTCAAAAAGATTTTTAGAAACAACAGCACAATAAATATTTCTCCAGCACTATTATATATCATGCGCTATACTCAGCTCTGCACCAAGGGGCAAAGGTGACAGCTCAAACTATTTGTTTCCATGCTGTCCTTCTTTAAGGTCCAGGGCTGCCTTACTGATTCTTTTTCACAGAATGAAAATTCTTCACACTTCCTTCAGTCTTTATATACTCTACCTTTAAATACAGTAAAAACTTAGAGCAACCTGTTACATGGATAAACTGTTTTGAACTTGTTTAAAAGAAATGAAATAAGTGCTATCTTTAATAGGTAAACTGTATGTGGTAACCTTAATTATACTTCCTTTACGAGAGTAATAAAAGATCCTGTAGAGAATGCATTAAACTGCTAATAGGAATGCCAGAATCTTATAGCAGAACGAGGATATTGCTGAGATACACGCAAATTTGCTCCTACCTTGGAGCCTTACCTGTCCCATCTGAAGATACATGTTTTGTAAGAATGAGACAAATAGTTAAAATAAACTGGATCACATATTTACAAGATTTCAGACTAAGAACTCATAAACACAAGTGAGATGAAACTCATTCTTGTCACTAAGCTCTTTGGAAGACAAATACATACGTACATGGAAATTGCCTTTATCACAGTTCTAATAAACAGCAAATTGAACAGTGAATAAACTGTCTTATGATATAATAGGATGGCTGTTATGTAATGTGGCTCTTAAATAAAAGAATATTTTTGCTTTTCAGCTGTTTTATGAGATTTCAGAAGTTATGAATTTATAGATTTATTTCCAAATGAAATCAACATAATTATAATCTTGCTGCAAAATAGTGATGAAATGGTGTATATGAACATGTAAACAATGAAGAAAAGGAAAATATAAGACCATAAAGAGAATATGTAATTTTTCAGAACTTGTTAACTTTATTTTGGGCAGGAAATTCTTTGGGATTTGTTGATACTGTTGTTTTCTATGTACACAAAGCATAAATGAAGCTTTTTTGGTATTGATTCACATTATGTTTTGGCATTTTTGATGTAATATCACATTATGTTGTATTTTACTTTTCTTTCTATGTAGACAGATGAACAAGCCATGCTGGAAGATACACTTGTTGCACTGTTTGATTTGGAGAAGGTTTCCTTTTACTTTAAACCATCAGAAAAAGAACCACTTGTTGCAAGTAAGTAATTCTGTGTTTATAGAATTTTTTCAACATCAAACAATAAAATATGGTATAACTTTGATTGCAATAGTTTATACCTACTTATAAATTCAGTGCCTGGAAAGTAACGTTTTGATTTGGCAATTTTCCATCACTCTAACTGCTACAGGCAGTTTGAGGAGTTACACATTCATAGAAGTAGCACTTCCTGTGGTTTAATGTCATGTTTTATCGTTCTTCAGGTTATTCATCTACTATTTTGGCATTGTCCCCATAGTTTTGAAATAATTTCTATCAAAAGACAAAATCTTTAACAGTTTTCTCTTAGTTTTATATGTTACCTATTTTTTTAAGTGTGAGAATCCTGTGATTATGATAGAAGATACAAGTTTCCTCTTGGCTGACAGAGGTTACTTTTCACCTTCCCAGTGCCTAGTATAATGCATGCACTGTATAGTACAACCCATGCTTTAAAAATGATCATTGTTTAATTTGTTCACCAAAAATTTCTTGAATGTGTACTCCTTGTCAAGACTTCGTTAGTTGTCGGCATCGATAGAGAAGTCAGTGGACTGAAATTTCTCATGGAGCTTACATTCCAGTGGGGAGAGGAAATAATAAGTCATGAACATAATAAATTAGAAGGTATTAATTGAAGAGGCTAAAACAAAGATGAAGGGGCAAGTGTAAAGTTGGACGTAACAAGGCAGGGAGGGAACCCTCACGAGGGAGCCCAGAGCACTGAATAGACAAAAGGAGTGACTCATGCAGATTTGGGAGAGGGTGCCCAGATTCTTTGGACTCTGAGGTAGGAAGACATGTGGCGTCCTGTCAGGCAGCATGCATGCCTGCTTGGCTGTAGTAGAGCAAGTATAGATGACAAGGACAAAGACAATTTCAGACCATGCAGGACTTGCTGGCTGAGGCAAGCACTTTGCTATCCTTCCCAAGCCACTGAGAAGATTAACAGTCTGCCTTACATGTGGGAAGGCTGTATCTGGCTGTTGGGTTGAATAGATCATTCCAGGGATAAAAAGAGGCCTGGATACTAGATAGAAGGCAACAGAATGGCCTGGATGAGAGAACATAGTGACTTTGTCTTAAGGGTAGCGGTGAAGATGGTGTGAAAAATGCGCATGGCTTTTCTATTAATTTACAAAGGTAAAGAGAACAGGGTTCTATTAAAGTTTCATTTTCTGCAGTGAACAAGAAAGAGAACAAGAACATGAAGTACTTAGTGAGAAATACAGGTTATATTCAAGAGAGGGTTTATTTTTCTGGAAGGGGTATTATTTGATAAGGATATTTGAACAAATTATGTGATCTTCTGTGTGTACAGATAGAATAGGATGTATTTTCATTTACTTGAATAGTGTAGGCACAGTTTTGTCGAATGCAGAGAAAACTCTATTTTTTGGTAAAACTGAATATGATTTTTAAGTTTTGCCTGAGGAAATACAGGCTCACAGGAGGTCTCTTTCCCATGGTTCCAATGCAACATTATTGGCAAATGATCTGTGGAACAAGTAGAAGAACCAGCATTAAGCTTTATAAAATGTTTCCTTATTGTATATCTACTGTAAAAAGTTTCACTCTGGCTTATTGGAACCTAAACTAAATATAGGTAACTAAGACCATGTAAGCTATGTTAATATGTGAATGTAAATGTAACCATGCCTGTAACAAATACAACATTGTGATATATATTTGGCAGTACATTTCTATGTATTTTTTCAAGGGATAACCTTGACTTCTGAAAATAATGAAGCAGCAATTTCAATGCTTTGTGACTACAGTCCAGTGAATTAAAAAACAGTAATGATAGGAATATAATTCTAACTTCAAAATGACTCAGGAAAGAAGAGAATTACACAATGACTCAGGGTCATCGTGTCTTCAGTGCTATAAGAAAACTAGAGCTTTATTATTCACTGTTAGTAGTTTCATCTTTCTATGTGTGTAGAAGCAGAGATATTAGATTGGCTAATGAATTCTGCATGAGTGGATTGGAGACCAGCTGGCTGTGGGTCTATGAAGGAAGGTCTGAGTCCAAAGGGTAGGAAGCATATGGTGTACGTTAGTCAACATTTTGTTACTGGGACCCAGTACCTGATATACACAACTTAAAGGAGAAGAGATGTATTTTGTCTCATGGTTTCAAGGGATTCAACCTATTGCCTGCTGGCTTCAAGACAGAACCGTCATGGCCCCAGGGCATGGTAGAGCAAGGATGCTTATCTCTTGCTGGCCAGGAAGCACAGCAGGGAGCAGGTCCAGAGAAAAAGAGGCAAGAGATCATATACTGCCTCCATGACCTACCTAGGCACACCCAGAAGTGTGCTTTACTATTCTCTATGCTAACAGTCCACCTTACCTTTTACAAGTGTAAAGAGACCATTGACCTCAAGGAGCCCGAGTTCAATTACTGGCCAAATTTTCAATGTAAACTCAATGTTGAGTATCTTAAATAAGATAATATATTTGAAATTCTCTAGCATTATGTGTGGCTCATTATATTAATTAGTGTTAGGATAAGCCAAGGCACAATTGAGACCACAGGGGCAGATAGAGTTTAAGCAATGTGTGAGGGTTTATTGAAGACCGGATGCAGCCAGGCCAAAAGTGAAAAGACCACTGGTTGTGAGCAAGGGGCGAGAGCATGTTTTATAGAGGAGTTTAGGTATGGGAGAGGAGGCCTTGCTGAGGGGGGTGCAAAAGTTTGGGTCTCTCAATAGGGGACCTGGGGCTGGCTGATAGATAGAGTGGTGTTGGTACAGGTGGGTACTGGCAGAAACAACATGTCTCTTACAGTTTTTCACAGAAGCAGATCTCTGAATGTTGAGCTGTGTGGGGCAGCTGGTAGCTTCCTGTTAACACTGTGAACCCACAGTTCTGAATAACGTATCTCCTTGAGTAGTTTTTCTCTCCTAGCTGGGCACCGGTATAGTCCAGAGACCTGACATTTAGTAAACGTCTGTGTCCATACTCCTTACTTTAATACTTTACGTTCTTTTTGGTAAGCCATATTAATAGCATTGCCCATACTCTTATTTCTGCAGTAAAGAATAATAATATTCTGAAAGGTTATGTCTTGCCAAGCACATAGAACTCAAATATCTGTATTGAAGTCATTACATTTTTCCTGAAGAAATAATTATTAAATATATGTAATACACTAAGTGCTGAGATGAGTTCTAGGAATATAATGGCACCTAAGTAAAATAAAGCCCTAATTAGTATGATAATAGAGAAAGATACAAAGGAATAAATTGCCAGTTTGACCACTTCTCTGATAAGAAAGTTCAATGAACCTCCCATGTTCCATTATATAGTGAAAGAGGAGAAAATTATCTAAATGATTAGAATGTGTGGAATTAAACTTATTTTATGGAAAATCTTTTTTTTATTTGGAGAATAATATGACAGTAGATCTCCTTTTCAATGGCGACATTGGCAGTTTTGTAATAATTGCTAGGAGAGTGTCTCGGTTACTTTTCTCTCGTTGCTGGGACAAAATATCTGACGCCCAAAATTAAGGAAGGAAAGGTTTATTTCGCTTACAGTTTGTGGAGGTTTCAGTCCATACTTGGCAGATTATAAGGCAGAGTGGCACATGGCAGAGGGCTACAGCTCAGGGTGGCAGAGCACGGCAAAGCAACAAGCACACACCAGGGCGGAATGGCCTCAAGCACCCTTTTCCTCTCCCTTACATATGCACACTATCCACCCCAGGGCGGGTGTAGCTCTCACACCTCAATCAACTCTAAAAGCCTGCCCCATGGCCGCATGAGGCTTTGGGGGGACACACAGACAAACCGTAACAGAGAGTAAATGTATTTATGTTCCCACTATCTCTCAAGCATAGTGTCTAAAGCCGTGAATGCCAAGCTGGATGAGATAGATAGGGGCTGACAACCAGGTGGAAACAACAGTAAGAGACTAAGTACTACAAGATGGTTGGGACGTGATAAATCCTATGAAGCCTGTGAGCAGAAGCGTATTGAAAAAGGGTTAAGTTGCCCTTTAAGGGGTGATCAGAGAAGGTTCTCTGGAGAAGTAGCTTTTAAGCTGCTATCTGATCTACAGATAAACTCAAACAGACGCCAACCCACAGAGCACGAGGGAAGCCCACTTCAGACAGAGGGAACTAACAACCTCAACATCAAAAACTTATTTTCAAACTCACTGGCCCATTCGTTAGCTGGCTGCCATGTTAAAGGAATCAGACGGCACCACTGAAACTCCTGTCTAGGATGAATCGTTAGTATGCTGCCAGAGAATGTTTCCTCAAAGAACAGTGGTTTTGAAGCATTTAATCTTTGCATCATCCTAATCATCAACTTAATTTTTCTTAGCAGATAAATTTTCACGAGAGAAAGGAGAAAGGCAGCATTTTCTACTCCACTATTGCTGTGCACATTTTCAGAAAGGTTTTAAATTTTTCATATTGTTGAGTTTTTAACAGTCCTTCGCATACTTTCAGTGACAGCTCTGTATCAGATGTGTTCTTTGCAAGTATTTCCTCTGATTCTGTTGCTTGTTTTCTCACTCTGTTGACATTATCTTTCACAGAGTGGAAGTTTTAAATTTTAATGAAGTCCTGTTAATTAATTCTCTTCTTTATTGATTGTACTCTCAGTGTTATTTCTAGAAAGTCATCACCACACTCAAGATCATCCAAGTTTTCTCCTGTTAGCTTGTAGAATTTAAAAAGTTTTCACATTAAAAGTGGGTATCAGTTGTTCTAGATCCATTTGTTGAAAAGATTACCTTTGCCTATTGTGTTGCCTTTACTTCTCTATCAGAAATATGTGTATGTGGGTCAGTTTCTGGATTTCATTTTTCTGTTTGTCTGTATTTTTTACCATATCACACCATCTTGATTCCTGTAGCTTTCTAGTAATCCTTGAAAGTAATGTCTGCCCACCAGTTTTGTTTTGCTTTCAATAGTGTGTTGGCCATTCTGGGTTGGTCTTCCTTTCTTCCCTTCTTTCTTTCCTCCCTTCCTTCCTTCTTCCTTCCTTCCTGTGCACCCTCCTTCCTTCCTCTTTTCTCTTTCATCCCTTTCCTTCTCCATCCTCTTTTTTCTTTTTGCAGTACTTGAGATTGAACCTAGGCCTTGTACATGCTAGGTAAATACTGCTGAGCTACAGACCCTGCTTTATTCTGGGTTTTCTGTCTCCATACAAACTTTAGAATCCTTTTGTTGACATCCCTGAAATAATTAGGAATTTTGATTGGGATTTTTATATTGAAGCTGTAGGTCAAGTTGGAAAAAGTTCTCTGGTAGCACTCCAGAGGATTCATCCTAGAGAAGTGGATAGCTTGACAATGTTGAATATAGGACGGTTCTCCATTTATTTTGATTTTTCTTTCAGAAATTTATAGTTTTTCAAGTTATACCCAAGTATTTCATTTTGAAGGGGTGTGCGTATGAATGTACTGCATTTTTCTTACTATAAGAGCCAAGATTTTCAGTATAGTGTTGAAAAGGGGTAGTGAAAGCGGGCATCTTGCAGCTTCCTGATTCTAGTGAGCAGTCTAGTTTCTCATCGTTATACATGATGTTAGCTGGAGGTCTTACAGATACTCTTTATCAAGCTGAGAATGTCTTTTTTTCTTCGTTTACTGAGAGTTTTTTTTACCATCGGTAAGTGCTGGATTTTATCAAATGTTTTTCTATATCTATTGATGTGATCATGGAATTTTTCTTTTTAGTCTTTTCATTTTGGTGGATTACACTAATTGCTTTTCAGATATTGAGCCAGCCTTACCTGCATGTTTGGGATAAATTCCATTTGGTTCTGGTATATAACTTCATCATACATTATTAGATTGGACTTGTTAATGTTTTTGAAAAATTTTTGACCTATATTCATGAGAATTATTATGCACTTTCAGATTCAACATGTACTTTGAGGCAAATAGCTTACATTCTTTCATATAGTACTTGTAGGTTTATCATCACTTTAAAATATATATTTGCTAATTTTTAAGCAAAGTTTAGCTTTTGTGTCCCTCATATAATACCTTCATTTCTTGTATGTTAGTCTGGGGGGACTACACCTGCTATATGTTGTTTCTTTCTATAGCATTATCCATTTTTAAAAAGAGATCAGTTACAGTGATGGTAAAGAGTAAGAGTGTGGACTTTGTGGTACTCAACTTTCACTTCAACAAATACCTGAGGTAAACGATTTAAAAGAAGAAAAAAATTATTTTGGCCCATGATTGAAGAGATTTCAGTCCATGGTTAAGTGGCCCTATTGACTCTGGGCCAGTGTCACAAAGTACATCAGAACAAGGATTGCCTGGCAGAGGGAGCTGCTTACCTTATGGTGGCTAGAAAGCAAAGAGAGGGAAAGGAAGGGATCAGATTCCAATATCCTCGTCACGGTGCACCCCCAATGACTTCACTTCCTCTGGGTGCACCCCACCTCCTAATGGTTCCACCACCTTCCAGAAGTGCCATAGGGTGGCAGCCAAGCCTTTGCCACATAGACCTTTGGAGTCCTTTAAGATTCAAAATGTAACAGAATTCAACAAAAATTAAAATGAAAGTTGTTGAAAAGGAGAACTAGAAGATACAAATACTTAGTGTGTGAGAGTCTATCATTTCTACAATTTCCACGCATCTTTTTCAATTTAGAAAACAGAAGGAAAAAGAAATTTGCCAAATCATTAAAATTCCATTAATTTGCAACCCCTTGACTAAGAAATTTATTTTTCCTTTTTCCTAAATCAATCTCTTCATGTTTTCCATTTTTAAAATACAGTAACAAAAAAATGTCATGGCAAAAAAAGAGATTTGCAAATGTCAATACAGTGTCCTCTTTATTGATATAGGAGATCTCATAGCAATATTTAATCTATATATATCTATGTAACTGTAAATGTATGTGCAATATATACATTTAATGTATACATTTAGAACCTAAAATCTAAAACTATAAATGATATTTGACCTTCAACACTATTTTTATATCAGTGTTTTCTAGATAAAGGTTAGCTAGAAGTAATAAATATTAAATTAAGAATTGTATTAAATGCCTACTGTGTTTTGTTCTTAATTTTTATCTAGTTAGGGTGACTATTTTACCTTTTTAAAAAAATTTTACATTCTTTTGTAAAGAGGTCAAAATATTTATCATAGATATGTATCATAACAGGAAGATCTGTGACATCATTGTGAAATACTTCTACAGTGCAGTATTTTGCTTTTTTAAATATTTAGTTTTTTAAGTAATTAAACTTAGCATCTTTAAAAATAGCTACCAGAGTTTGGGCAGATAATTTCTAATGGCTGTAGGGCATCAACAGAGGGTGATTCATTTCTGATTTGGTGCTCAGGGAATGGAGATTACAAAGCCCACGCTAATTTTGTTAATGGTTGCTGTGTATTTAATTTCTTGCACACTACTTAAGAAGTGTACCCCAAGGCCTCATTTTGGCTAAAATATGAAGAAGGCAGGTACCTTAGGAGATTCCAAATTCAAACCATGTGTAGCTGAACTCCTCATTTAGTTAAGTGAGGCATCTGGTATGTCCAAGTATAACGATGTTTCCTATTACAGAATTTTATGTGCAGTGCGGTAATAAATCTGTTGCTTTAGCTAATGAGAACCTGATTTAATACTCTTTCACTGAATAGCATTTTATTTCTAGCCTGAACATGATGCACATAAGCACCTTAAGTGTATGATGTTCTAGGAATTTTCAGGATTCTTTGTAAGGACTAAAAAGATTTTTTTTTTTTTTTTTTTGGTTTTTCTCTGGTACCAGGAACCGAACTCACGACCTTGCGCTTGCCAGGCAGGCGCTTTGCCGCTGAGCTAAATCCCCAGCCCCAGGACTAAAAAGATTACCTTAGATAATCTATATATACAATGTATAGTGTCCTGATTTCAGAGAGTAATACAGCCTTTAATGTCATTTCAGACGTGCCTCTTACATATCAAGCAGAAGGAACCCGGCAAGCTCTGAAAATTTACTTCTACATTGACAGTTATCATTTTGAACAACTGCCTCTACGGTTGAAAAATGGAGGAGGGTTTAAAGTTCATCCTGTTCTTTTTGCACAAGGTAAACTGTTTTCCTTTTTATGCCTCACATACTCAACTTTTTTTTAAAAAAAGGTAATTTTAACAATCAAGTTTTTTATTAATTGGAAAATTCCCTATAGTTTTTAGGTAATATATTTGCTTCTGAGAATATTTAGGAAAGAAAGAATGAACTATGATTTAAATATTTATCTAATAAGCTTATAGCATTATTTATAAGGGAGAAATACATTATGAGTAGTTTAAATACTGATTAATGAACTTGCTTAAATAAGTTAAATCATAGTAAAACCATTAAAAATGTATGGTCAACATATTTTATGATATAGAAAAAAATGTGACAGTATACTCATGCAGATTATTTTAAAACATATTGTAATTTCAATTACACTGTATATATGCATATAAACTTACATGTATCTGAAATGTTTTGCACATCTCTGAGTGTTTAAACAGATGCTTTTAAAAACATTTTATATATCAAAATTTTTGTCAGGAAAGATGTATTGCTAATTTTTTTAAAAATAAATGTTAGTGGTGGTAGAATTAAGAGTAACATGAGTAAGAAGATGCTCGCCATGTGCTGGATTTCCCAGGAGAGATCATGGGTCTTTTCTGTTTCTAAGGTCATATAGATCAGAAGTCCAGATTACTGTACTGTCGCTTTTGGGTTAGTGCCCCACTCAAAGCCCCGGAAATATGCATATTTGTGAGCACAAGGTTATAGCAACTTCTCTAACACCTTGAGTTTTTTTTTTTTTTCTTTAGGGTTTTCTAGAACTGCATTGATTTTGCTGTAGACTTTCAAAGTTCTAATAAAAAATGAAGAGTAGGAATATAAAATCATGCTATCTACATATCTGAAGAATATGCAGGCATATGAAATCTAAATTCACCACCAAGTAAAGATTTTGCTTTGTACCACTTCCATACTACTCTTAAAAACCGAATTCTCAAAGATCATTTTCTTAAATTGCCATAGCTTGAAAACTATGACTACCTCAAACATATTCTTGGCAATACTACATTTATGCTGAGGGAACTTTTAGTGAAATGATGATTTTAGGAGTTATTAGAAGGCATTTTAATTTCTCTTTGGAGGACTATGATTTATAGGTTGGGTCACCATAGGTAATTAAGATTCTGTAAGAAACAGAATAAAAACTGAGAAACACTGACCAAAAATAGACTTTTCAAGACAACAGGAGAATAGTTTAACCTAAAAGATATCTAAGTCCTTGTAGGAATAGGCAGTGTGAGAAGACAGAAAGGTTCCGATCAAAAATGTTAACTTTTATGGGGCTTACTTAGGGATTACAGTTATTTTCAGTTTCTTCATTTGTTTTCCTATATTTCTAATTTTTAAACTGTCTTTGAAATCATTACTGATATGACAGATGGAACCAAGCATCCTTTTAAAAAGTTGTCACATTTATGATCCTCTGCTTTAAATAACTGAATAATTATGTTCAACAGCTGGTGTGCCTAGGAGAAAAGATTATCTTTGCAAGCAACCTCCATTTATAATTTCGGTAAAACCCAATTTAAAAATAACCCCTGAATACAGTTCAGTGAATATAATATCACTTTTAAAATAGAATTTAAAGAAAAGCTGTAGTAAACTTTAGGTTTTCCAGTTCTCATAGTACTGAAACATAAATATGATTTGAATATGCAACACAGGAGATATTTCTGTAACTGAGGTTACAGAAGGTAAGGAAACCTGCGAGGCAGTTTATCTCATTACAGATCTGTCAGGGCCAAAGCTGTTTATTGAAAAGGGAGGCACAGGTTCCTTTGCAGTCGTAAAGCTCCCTGGAAGAATCATTAGTTACTCATAGGATTCATCAGATTGAGTGAAGCCTGGAAATCCAGACGGGGTCTAAGTAGAGACTGCCACCTGGTAACTGAAAGTGGTAACAAATGGAAGAGATTGGGATCAGAGTCCATTCCTGGGACGAAAGTTTATTTGAAGTGTTTTAGTTCTGTGAGTGCGTGTGTACATGTTTCTTTGCCAGAAAATGTTTTTAAACAATAGAAAAGTGAGACGAATTTGAAAATTTCGTGGGAAATTTATTAAAGTCAGCCTCCCCAAAGCTGTCTGTGGAGAGTAGAAGGAGTAAATGTATTATCCTCTTCTATTTTTCTCGCCTCCATGAAGTTTTGGAAGAGGATAGACCTGGTTGTTGACGAGGTAGCCTGCGAGATAGGACCAGCTCTTGGATCAGAAATCTCAGGGTTGGAAGTGAGTAGGGTTTGAGGTGAATGTATATTGCTGAAAACCAGAGCTTTGAGAGAACAGGAATCTAGGTAGAAAAAAGTGATACAGATGTCCAAAGTAAGACACACAGAAATAGCCAGACAGGAAAGCTGGCATGAAGCCTACTGCAGATGCTTGAATGCGACCACATTAAAGCAACCTCTACCTTGTACATACTTCCGACAGCTCAGGGTATTTGTACTGATGGGAATCCCCAAGAACTTAGTGAAATAAAGCAAGTAATTATAAATGGAATCAAGACAGGAGTACGGGGGGGGTAAATATTCAGGGTCTTTTATCCCACCCACTCCTCGCTGATTCATTTCCATGTGTCTGTCAGTAGCTCCCAGAACTGGCTACACATTAATCATCTTGGAAGGGTTTTGGAAAATACCTATTCTCAGCACCATAGTGCGGGAGACCAGATGGGAAGAATAAAGCCCAACTGGCCTCTTCTGTGAGCCCTGGAGAGGCAGCGGGGGCGTGAGCATGTGATACCATTCTGCAGGCAAAATTAACACAGCTGAGATACTGTTGTTTCCTGAGATACATACCATCGATGGTGGAAGACAGAGTCCTGTTTTACTCTGATTGCTTGTGCCCATATCTGAATAAAGCCAGGGAGTGCCAGTCACTCAGGGCTTTTTGCCAAAGGGAAACAAGAGCCTTCTGTCTCCCCACATTTTAACCTAATTCTGTGTTTTATCTTCACCGCCTCTTGGTCAGGTCCAAGCTCATAGATTGGCCCCCTACACCATACCAAGTCAATTAGGATGGAATTGCTGTGGGCGAGCAGTAGGAGATACCAGGATATTTCAGTAGCTTTCTAGCTTTCACAAGTGTATGTGGACTATGAAACACTGCAGTTATCCAGTTAATCCTTGTTTAATTACGATATTTTATTTCACAAGTGGTTGGCATATTTAGATTCTGGGCAGATGAGGCTAGGAGCACTGTCAAAGGTTTTTGTATTCTTAAGGTCATGAGGATATAGCATGGCCCTAGAAGGAGATGTGACCTTAGCTGAGACGATTTTTTTTATCCAAAGTCAAGGATGGTCTGGAGAGTAGACAGCTAAGGGGTGTCTTCTGCAGCAATCAAAGCAGCTGGTCAATGAGTCTCTCATCTCTGAAAGGGGATTCTAACAAGCAGCCCTTAGAGGATCCTCTGTAGACCATGCTTTGCATTCCTGAGACCCTTGTCTTTGTATAAGGCCTAAGAGAGGCTCCCCTAGACCCCTGGTATACTTCCCTTGGTTGGGGGATTGTTTATTGTTTGAGACAGGGTCTCACTATATAGTTCAGAGTGGCCTTGAACTCACTATGTAGCCCAATCTGGCCTTGAACCCATAGTGATCCTCATGCCTTGGCCTGCCAAGTGCTGGGATTGCAGGTGCCTAGTGGGAAAGGATTTTAGGACAAGCTATAGCCCTTTCTACTGCAGGTTGTCTTGGGGCCTCAGCAGATTTTTCCCTCTTGTAAGACCACTACTCATTGCACTGAGACCTCCTCTGTAGATCAGCCTAGGTCTCAGCCTCTTCTGGTGTTGGTGGCTAATCTATGGCATGATAAGGATGTTTTTCTTCAGGGGCCTGATCCTCTGGCCGCTACGCCTTTCTCAGAACTTGATTGCTGCCACTGTTGGTTTACCGTGAAATTCAGGCAGGGAAGTACCGGGAGAGACCTCGATAAGTGACCTGAATTCCTCCTGCCCTGAGCTTTGCCAAGATGGCGACTGCTGGTACTTGGCACAGGAACTTCAAGTGGCCAGGTGGCAACTGTAGCTTACAGTTCAGTGGGACCTCTGTGTTGTCTCCAGGAGAAAATATCTTTTCTCAGTGATCAGGATGTTTATCCCCACAGAACCAGAGTTTCAGGCTTGGGAAATACAAGTGAGACCCCAAATGAGTCACTGGAACTAATGTTGTTTTGCATGGCAGCTGTAACAAACCACCCCAAACCAGGTGCTTTAAAATAGCAGACATTTAGTCTATCATAGTTCTGAAAGTGTACAGTCTGAAGTCAAGGTGGTATCAGACCGTGCTGCCCTTGCCTGCCTCTTTTGGTTCTGGTGGTTGTTAGTGGTCCTTGGCTTTCCCTGGTTTGTGGCAACTTTATTAGAATCTCTGCTTCCCTCTTCATGTGAATCCTTCCCTCACTGCGCGTCTGCCTCTGTGTCTTTGTATCCAAATATTTCTCTCCTTCCAGGGATACCAGTCGTTGGGTTGGGTCTACCCTCATCTGGTACGCGCTCCTTTTAATTTGATGACATCTGTAAATACCTATTTCAAAACATAGTCATATTTACAGGCACCAGAAGTGAGGACTTTGTCATATCTTTTCCAAGGTGCGGTTCAACCCTCACCAGATATTATGCACCATTACTTCTGCTGCCACCCTTGGCTTCTTGAACTATGTACTGTACCTCTGAGGGTGATGTCCTATAAAATATTTGATTTAAAATACATAGTGTCCTACTGCATGCTATCTCTTCCTTAAGCATTATTAAATACTATTACCTGGGTCTTCTTAGACTAAATAGGACATACAGTGCTGATCTTTTATCCACACTTTGTTATTTTTGGCTATTTTCCTCTTGTGGGAAAAGAAAAGGCTGCCAACAAAATGAGAGAAGTCTACCCTGTAAGTCTCATTTCTTTCCTAGGTATCTTCAGCTGGGGATCTGGCTCTGGTTTAGAGTGCTTAGTGTGGCTGAGCCACTGGGTTCAATCCCCAGTACTGATTAAAAAAAAAAAAAAAAAA